ATTGTGTTGGTCTGTCTCCACTGTGAATGTGTTGGTCTTTCTCCACTGTCATTGTGTTGGTCTCTCTCCACTGTCATTGTGTTGGTCTGTCTCCACTGTAATTGTGTTGGTCTGTCTCCACTGTGATTGTGTTGGTCTGTCTCCACTGTGATTGTGTTGGTCTGTCTCCACTGTGATTGTGTTGGTCTGTCTCCACTGTGATTGTGTTGGTCTGTCTCCACTGTGATTGTGTTGGTCTGTCTCCACTTTGATTGTGTTGGTCTGTCTCCACTGTGATTGTTGTTGGTCTGCCTCCACTGTGATTGTGTTGGTCTGTCTCCATTGTGATTGTGTTGGTCTGTCTCCACTATGATTGTGTTGGTCTGTCTCTACTGCCATTGTGTTGGTCTGTCTCAGCTGTGATTGTGTTGGTCTGTCTCCACTATGATTGTGTTGGTCTGTCTCCACTGTGATTGTGTTGATCTGCCTCCACTGTGATTGTGTTGGTCTGTCTCCACTGTGATTGTGTTGGTCTGTCTCCATTGTGATTGATTGTGTTGGTCTGTCTCCACTATGATTGTGTTGGTCTGTCTCCACTATAATTGTGTTGGTCTGTCTCTACTATGATTGTGTTGGTCTGTCTCCACTATAATTGTGTTGGTCTGTCTCCACTATGATTGTGTTGGTCTGTCTCCACTATGATTGTGTTGGTCCGTCTCCACTGTGATTGTGTTGGTCCGTCTCCACTATAATTGTGTTGGTCTGTCTCCACTGTCATTGTGTTGGTCTGTCTCCACTATGATTGTGTTGGTCTGTCTCCACTGTGATTGTGTTGGTCTGTCTCCACTGTGATTGTGTTGGTCTGTCTCAGCTGTGATTGTGTTGGTCTGTCTCCACTATGATTGTGTTGGTCTGTCTCCACTATGATTGTGTTGGTCCGTCTCCACTGTGATTGTGTTGGTCCGTCTCCACTATAATTGTGTTGGTCTGTCTCCACTGTCATTGTGTTGGTCTGTCTCCACTATGATTGTGTTGGTCTGTCTCCACTGTGATTGTGTTGGTCTGTCTCCACTGTGATTGTGTTGGTCTGTCTCAGCTGTGATTGTGTTGGTCTGTCTCCACTATAATTGTGTTGGTCTGTCTCCACTGTCATTGTGTTGGTCTGTCTCCACTATGATTGTGTTGGTCTGTCTCCACTGTGATTGTGTTGGTCTGTCTCCACTGTGATTGTGTTGGTCTGTCTCCACTGTGATTGTGTTGGTCTGTCTCCACTGTGATTGTGTTGGTCTGTCTCAGCTGTGATTGTGTTGGTCTGTCTCAGCTGTGATTGTGTTGGTCTGTCTCTACTGCCATTGTGTTGGTCTGTCTCAGCTGTGATTGTGTTGGTCTGTCTCCACTATGATTGTGTTGGTCTGTCTCCACTGTGATTGTGTTGATCTGCCTCCACTGTGATTGTGTTGGTCTGTCTCCACTGTGATTGTGTTGGTCTGTCTCCATTGTGATTGATTGTGTTGGTCTGTCTCCACTATGATTGTGTTGGTCTGTCTCCACTATAATTGTGTTGGTCTGTCTCTACTATGATTGTGTTGGTCTGTCTCCACTATAATTGTGTTGGTCTGTCTCCACTATGATTGTGTTGGTCTGTCTCCACTATGATTGTGTTGGTCCGTCTCCACTGTGATTGTGTTGGTCCGTCTCCACTATAATTGTGTTGGTCTGTCTCCACTGTCATTGTGTTGGTCTGTCTCCACTATGATTGTGTTGGTCTGTCTCCACTGTGATTGTGTTGGTCTGTCTCCACTGTGATTGTGTTGGTCTGTCTCAGCTGTGATTGTGTTGGTCTGTCTCCACTATGATTGTGTTGGTCTGTCTCCACTATGATTGTGTTGGTCCGTCTCCACTGTGATTGTGTTGGTCCGTCTCCACTATAATTGTGTTGGTCTGTCTCCACTGTCATTGTGTTGGTCTGTCTCCACTATGATTGTGTTGGTCTGTCTCCACTGTGATTGTGTTGGTCTGTCTCCACTGTGATTGTGTTGGTCTGTCTCAGCTGTGATTGTGTTGGTCTGTCTCAGCTGTGATTGTGTTGGTCTGTCTCAGCTGTGATTGTGTTGGTCTGTCTCAGCTTTGATTGTGTTGGTCTGTCTCCACTGTGATTGTGTTGGTCTGTCTCAGCTGTGATTGTGTTGGTCTGTCTCAGCTGTGATTGTGTTGGTCTGTCTCAGCTGTGATTGTGTTGGTCTGTCTCAGCTGTGATTGTGTTGGTCTGTCTCAGCTTTGATTGTGTTGGTCTGTCTCCACTATGATTGTTGTTGGTCTGTCTCCACTGTGATTGTGTTGGTCTGTCTCCACTATGATTGTGTTGGTCTGTCTCCACTGTGATTGTGTTGGTCTGTCTCCACCATCATTGTGTTGGTCTGTCTCCACTGTCATTGTGTTGGTCTGTCTCCACCATCATTGTGTTGGTCTGTCTCCACTGTGATTGCGTTGATCTGTCTCTAGTGTGATTGTGTTGGTCTGTCTCAGCTGTGATTGTGTTGGTCTGTCTCCACCATCATTGTGTTGGTCTGTCTCCACTGTGATTGTGTTGGTCTGTCTCCACTGTGATTGTGTTGGTCTGTCTCCACTGTGATTGTGCTGGTCTGTCTCCACTGTGATTGTGTTGGTCTGTCTCAGCTGTGATTGTGTTGGTCTGTCTCCGTGTAGTCACGCTAACTGGTTAGGCCATGCTTCCCATTTGGCAGCTGTCCATGTAACGGGTTCATCGATTCAAAATCGATCCTCACGATCGTGGTACAAGCGTCGATGTGTAATAGTAATAAAAGTAATGCTGATACGAGGCTACTTATGACAACGCACAACATCGTGCGATTGAGTATTTGTTCGAAGTACGCATTCTGTCGACGACTCGGGAGGCCTGCACCCAGCCGTGGATTGATCTCGGCTGAAGATGACGACGACGATGATTTATGATGATGATGACGACGATGATGAGGCACTCGTGTTACAGTTAAGCCAAAGGAACCGACAACAACGAAACGGCCGTTCTTAAAGACAAGACACAAATACAAAACGAGATGGGTCTGGGAGTTGGCAAGGGGTGGCAAATATTCTCTCTCCCCTCCCACGGCCTCTCGATGCAACGTTTTCTCCCCGCCAATTGTCCAGCATCGAGAGGCACGGCGCCATTTGGACGCTCCGTGCACCCTGAGCGTGCTGCTGTTTATCCGCGGCGGAGGTGTCCAACTGGAGAGCCGAGCAGTCGGACAACGGCTGAGTAGTGTGCCGAGCGTAGGGCGTCAACAGCTCCTTCACCCCTCAATTCCTTGGTGTTGTTTTGTGAAAGTGCGCGACCCAACGCGGAGGGGAGTGGGCACCACCGCTCTGCTGGAGAGAGCTTAGAGCTCGACGCATCACCACCTCGCTGACATCTGCGAGTCACGAAGCTGTAGATAAATCGAATGCCAGAGCGCGCGAGGGAGCGCCTGTAGTACGGACAATGCGCAGAGCGGGGAGAGAGATGCGCGGGAGACCTCATGGCGTTTCGTCAAATGCTCACATGACCGCCAGAGCCGGTTTAATAAATTGTGACACATGTTAATAAATATTAGTTATTGACGACTATGTATTAAGAGTGAATAGTTGCGTAGTGTAACGCCACTCGACGAATGTTGTCGATATTCGTTACGCGCGGTGTTCAGAGTATAACGAAATATTGCGGTACAATCCCAGTTATACGGATATTTCTGGGCCTAGGGTCTGGGCCTACGACTACAATAGTCGATGCGCCTGGCTGGGGCCTATCTTAAAGGTTAACTTGGCCTGAACTTTGTACCAGCTCAATACGAGCGATGGTGATACAGAGGCGGCCTGGTCTATGTGGTCCTGGCTGGCCACAATGCCCTCCTCATGAGTAGCCCCATCCTGAGTAGAAATTCCCCAACACAACTTGGTTTGAACTCTCCCGTGTGTTTGCGCTCGCATGTGGAGCGATGCAATGGCTCAGCGCTCTGCACCATGAACCAGTTGACCTGAGTTCAGTTACCGGTTACTGATTACATCAACCCGTAAGTGGGTGTCACAATCTATTTTGGGCCTCCCCTAGGTCATCCTCGGCTGGTGCGGTCCATAGACAGCATCACTGGGGAGACAAAGGCGGCCACGCGTGGTGCAGGCCACACCCACCCCCTCGTGCACCGTGCCGGTCTTAATAGGTGCTCGCTAACAGAGCTCCCGCTAATAGTCTGTACGGCAAGAAGGGTGATGTTTGCGTCTTCGCAGAGCAGCGCTGTAGAGTTTAGTGACGTACACCTTAGATTCCAGGAGTCTGTGCAAGATAAATAAATGGTCAGTGTGTGTGTGTATCATCATCATTAGCCGTGATCTATCCGCTGATGGATGAAGGCCTTCCAAAGCTGTTGACATCTTTGGCGGTTTTGCGATGCGGTGAATCGATCCCACGGCGTGCGGCGCGAGATGATGTTGTTGCGTTTACACTGCTGTTGTGTTTCCACTGCTGTAGTGTTTACACTGCTGTAGTGTTTACACTGCTGTTGTGTTTACATTCATACACTCACGGAAACTAGAGAAGCGCACGGGAACTCTGTTTATAGCCAGGTGAGGGCCTATCAGGACTGAATCTCTTTTGTCACGGGAGGCTGCAAACAAAGAATGTCCACCGCTGAGCTGAATCTGTCTGGTGCAGAGAAACAAATGAACGCAATAATAAACCAAATATAAAGCAAAGATCATGGGCGGAGTTTGTGGGGAGGGGGTGGGGGCGGCAGCACCCCTCCAAAACTGGACACCCTTATTAATGTATTTTCAGTAGTTTACAATTAAGATGGAAAATAAAAAAAATTATGTGCACCCGCTATTCCTAATGCGAGTGACAATACCTCCCCCCATGTAGAAGTCAAACTCCGCCTATGGCGAAAATGATAGATGTGTTACCCAAGCAAAATATAAAATGTTGCTGTCTCGCGTGCGTGCGTGTGTTTGTGTGTATTTGACGTGTGCAGGTTGCAATGTGTGCACTCATCGGAATTGCTCGGATTACTTGAGTCCCTGTCCCAAAAACATTTCAAAGGTACGTTAATCGCGGCGAACTGGCATCGTCGTCATCGTCGTCGTCGTCATCATCATCGTCGTCATCCCGCATCGTCCATCGCACCGATCACTAACCACCACCTGCCTCTGACCGAGAATCGCCCGGGTCACGTCAGCTCTTGGAAAGCTAAGGAGTCCCGAGCCCCCTTCGTTTAGTGCTTGGATGGGCGTGCACACCACCACGTTGTTATAGGCTGTGCTGCAGGACTACGAGGTTGGCTGTGTAGAGAGCAGTGCGGAGAAGTCCATTGTACCCCTACTTCCATGCCTTTGCTACTCGCCTTCAGCAAACCTGCACTGACCGGCACGGTGAAGTATGGTCAAATAGCCATGCCCCGTTTGGTGTGGGGAGGCCCTGATCCAGCAGTGGATCGCCAAAGTGCAGTACTTATGCAACAACTCTCCAGCCAGGCCCGGAGCAAGCGATCGAGCCGCAGAATAGCAATTTCAAATCCCCTGTTCAGGGAAGAACTTAGCGTATCATCCGTCCAAGTGTCGATAAAACTAGTACCCCTTTGTGGAAAGCCAACAGTGGTTGTGCTTTGGAAAGACGAGGAATTTACTGAACCGGAGATGTGTGCCACCCGGGACACGCTCTGACCTTGATTAACCTTTTGGAAACATTCTGAAACAGCTCCGTTTACCTTGTGTGAACTTATAATACGTCGTGTAAGCTGGTAATCTGTATGTATGTACGTATATTTGTGTCCATATCCAGAGATAGCTTCCTAGACCGCTCCACCAATTTTACTGGACGATGATTCATTTGAAAGCTGACAACGTTAACTTGACCAAGGTTGAAATGACATAAAAAAAATTCGCCCAATAATTTGGCTTCTTGGCCAAGGAGCTGCTCATGCACTCCCACCATTGACAATGCAAACCCCGTTTTAAAAATCATACAATTGATAGACGTGGGGGGGGGGGGGGGCGATACCAAGATTCCTACGCCAGATGGCACATGCTCCAGATTGCGAGCGTGACGTGAGTGTCAGGATCGGCGATTTAACTATTTGTGTAAAACGTACGCGAACGTACGCGAGTACGTGAGGTGAGTGGACACCTACAAATCGAGGCATAACAATGAGAAGCCAAACAAACGGCACTCGCAAAAATTATTTGTTATCATTATTGATTCGCGACCACGAATGGTGGTTTGGGGAGGGGGGGGGGTGGGTGACGACGAGTCATCGAATCTCGAGAGCGAACCTTTGCCGCACGTCATGGCGACGACGGTGGACATCGCTCTGAGAGGATCGTGCGAATCCCTGCACCGAGGGGATTGGGGATGGTGCAACCGCTGGCTCGTTTTCTCTCTCCCTCTCTCTTTCTCTCTCCGCGTGCGCAGTCGAAGTCGAGCGCTGGAGGAGATCTCCATTCGTTTTCTTACACTGGTGAGTAACCCGCGGAAATGGCGCCGCGTTTTGGGCGTCGCGTCACGAGGCGAGGAAGGAATTCCATCAGGAAATCGGAATCGGTAGAAATATTTAAGTCTGCTTTGAAAACCCATCTTTTTAAAGCGGCCTTCCCTTTTTGGTTCGGTCGGTTGCCCCGGTTCTGTTTTTGTTTCCTGCTTTCCACGCATTGCGCATTGGGATCCTGGGTTGGAATGCGCATTATAAATTTAACTTATTTTAAATGATTCTTATTATAATCCCATTCTGAGTCTCTCGCAGAGGCGCGCGACACTTTGGGTTAAGAGAGCGGTCCTCGTGGCGGATACAGCGGTGTTGCCCTCCTACTGTGTCAACCAGAGGTCGCCCTGGTTCACACAGTAGGAGGAGAGCACTCTCCCCCACCCTCTCTGCCACTGAGGGAAATGATTGTTGTTGTATTGCGGTCAAACTAAATTTAATGAAAAACTCAACGTTCGTCAATAACACTGTTGCCTTAAAAATAAAATGTTAGAGAGAGGCCAGAGAGGTCAGGGTTAATAAAGGGGGGGACTGCACCCTTAACGTCGCGTTCATTCCAATTCCTGTCTCTTCCTCTCTGTCCCTCTCCTCCTCTTCCTATCCCTCCTTGTCTCTCCCCATCTCTCCCTATCCCCCCCCCCCCCTCGTTTCTGTCCCCCTCTCACCGACCCCTCCTCGTCTCTCCCCATCCCCGCTCCTCCCGCCCCTAACCCTAGGCCACATACATTCGCCGCAGAGGCCACTCTCCGTGAGTTCGCCCGCCGACGGGAGGCTCCCCCACGGTGCCGCCATAAGCTCCTCCTCGTTGGCCACGTCGCCTGGAGCCAACATGGCTGGCACTGCCACTCTGCCGAAGAGCGGCTCCTCCAGCAACCTCCAGAGGTGAGGGGGTTTTTGTTTGTAATATATTTACATTAGATTTTTTTCGCCGTACGCAAGAATGAAGGCCCGTAGCAGGACGATGGGTGACAGAAACAAACCAACCGCACGTAAATATCCACCAGGGCGATGTACCCGACGTGCTCAGATTCATCGGGGGGGGGGGGGAAGTGGAACGGTCAACCTGGGGGAGGGAGAGAATTTCGTTTTTTTTTTTTATAAATCTCTCATTAGCAACGAGGAGAGCCGCACGATGTTGTGCATTGTCATAAGGAGCCTCGTATCATCATTACTTTATTACTTTTACGTAACTGGCAAAAAAAATGGACTTTTAATGTCACCGGGAAGACTGTGTATGTGTGTATATTGAACCGTATCTAGCCAACGGTGCTAATCGGAGGTGTGGGGAAAGGATATTAAACTATACACACATACACACAAAAAGTAAAAGAGACTGCCAGATTTCCCAGGACAGCAACTGCCTCCTCAACAAGAGGAAGTTCTTGGGAAAAACCGCAACAGGTGTGGTGCGTGCTGGTGGTGCTGGTTGTGCTGGTGGTGCTGGTGGTGCTGGTGGTGCTGGTGGTGCTGGTGGTGCTGGTGGTGCTGGTGGTGCTGGTGTTAGTGTGGAGCGGTGGTGTAGCGATTAGCGCGCTGTGCTACGAACCCGGCGACCCGGGTTTGATTCTCGCTCACGGCCAACACCAGTGACCATTATTTGAACCGGTCCTGGGCCTCCCCTAGGTCGACTCAGCCTCAAATTAGTACCTGGTGCGGTGTGTAAACATTAACACTGGGGAGACGAAGGCGGCTGGGCGTGGTGCTGGCCACCCACCCCCCTCGTGTGCCGTGCCGGCCTTCATAGGTGCTGCTCGCTAACAGCACTTGCCCCAACAGTCTGTTAAGGCTACACGGGGGATCTTTGGTGTTGGTGGCACTGGTGGTGCTGGTGGTTGGTGGTGCTGATGGTGGCATCCACGACGTTTAGCTGCAACGCGCGTTTTGTGTTTTTTGCTTCTTTGTTTTTCCGCCTCCCTTCCACCCCCTCAGCTCCGTTTTAGAAGAGATGGATTCGGAAGCCGAGCACGATTCGTTACTGCAAGGTGGAGAGGGCTACATCAAGCCGTCCGATTCGCCGCCCAATGAAGGTACCGCATGCCGCCATTTCCACTTTGATGAACGCGTGCCGTGTAGTTCCTTTAATGTCTGTTGTCTCATTTCTATTGTCTAATATCTATTGTCTCATTTCTATTGTCTAATATCTATTGTCTCACTTCTATTGCCTAATATCTATTATCTCACTTCTGTTTAATATCTATTGTCTCATTTCTATTGTCTAATATCTATTGTCTCACTTCTATTGTCTAATATCTATTGTCTCACTTATATTATCTAATATCTATTGTCTCACTTCTATTGTCTAATATCTATTGTCTCACTTCTGTTGTCTAATATCTATTGCCTCACTTCTATTGTCTAATATCTATTGTCTCACTTCTATTGTCTAATATCTTGTCTCACTTCTGTTGTCTAATATCTATTGTCTCACTTCTATTGTCTAATATCTATTGTCTCACTTCTATTGTCTAATATCTTGTCTCACTTCTGTTGTCTAATATCTATTGTCTCACTTCTGTTGTCTAATATCTTGTCTCACTTCTGCTGTCTAATATCTATTGTCTCATTTCTATTATCTAATATCTATTGTCTCACTTCTATTGTCTAATATCTATTGTCTCACTTCTGTTGTCTAATATCTATTGTCTCACTTCTATTGTCTAATATCTATTGTCTCACTTCTGTTGTCTAATATCTTGTCTCACTTCTGTTGTCTAATATCTATTGTCTCACTTCTGTTGTCTAATATCTATTGTCTCACTTCTGTTGTCTAATATCTATTGTCTCACTTCTATTGTCTAATATCTATTTTCTCACTTCTGTTGTCTAATATCTATTGGCTTATTTATATTGGCTCATTTCTATTGGCTCATTTCTATTGGCTCATTTTTATTGGCTCATTTCTATTGGCTCATTGCCAGGCAGGCATGATGTCATGTGACTGTAACCCAACACATTGCAGGCAGGGTTGGTGGATCGTGTATCACCGGTCTATAGTTTATAATCCATTATTAAATATAACCGCATCTACTGTAGCAGGCGGTAATCTGCAAGTATTTATGTTGATCTGGAGAACTCTGGCTGGACCCCTTCACAATTTTCCATGAATGAAGTGTCATTAGTAACCTATTTTCTTTGGTCCTTTTGGTAAAGTCACGTAGATAGGTTCAAAGAAATAACAAAAATTTCAAAAAGCTACGACGTTTCGATCGCAACACAAGCGGTCGTCATCAGGAAAAGGTGGGTTAGCTTCTAAAGACAAACTGTTTATAAAGGTTTGAAATGGGCGTAGCCCAAATGTCAGCAGCCAATGAGAATGTGAGTGGTGGGCAGCGACCGCGGCGGTGGTGGGCTTTCCACCAATCAAAGGGCTGCCAGGTAAAAAATTATCATGTTAATGTGAGATCGTTGTGAGGCCTTCACGGCGAGTATGCCAAGGTGGCTATGTTAATGTGAGAGATGAGCATGTTAATGTGAGAGATGAGCATGTTAATGTGAGAGATGAGCATGTTAATGTGAGAGATGAGCATGTTAATGTGAGAGATGAGCATGTTAATGTAAGATGGCCGAGCATCCTCCATGGCGAGTATGCCAAGGTGGCTATGTTAATGTGAGAGATGAGCATGTTAATGTAAGATGGCCGAGCATCCTCCATGGCGAGTATGCCAAGGTGGCTATGTTAATGTGAGAGATGAGCATGTTAATGTGAGATGGCCGAGCATCCTCCACGGAGAGTATGCCAAGGTGGCTATGTTAATGTGAGAGATGAGCATGTTAATGTGAGATGGCCGAGCATCCTCCACGGAGAGTATGCCAAGGTGGCTATGTTAATGTGAGAGATGAGCATGTTAATGTAAGATTGCTGAGCATCATCCACGGCGAGTATGCCAAGGTGGCTATGTTAATGTGAGAGATGAGCATGTTAATGTAAGATGGCCGAGCATCCTCCATGGCGAGTATGCCAAGGTGGCTATGTTAATGTGAGAGATGAGCATGTTAATGTGAGATGGCCGAGCATCCTCCACGGAGAGTATGCCAAGGTGGCTATGTTAATGTGAGAGATGAGCATGTTAATGTGAGATGGCCGAGCATCCTCCACGGAGAGTATGCCAAGGTGGCGATGTTAATGTGAGAGATGAGCATGTTAATGTAAGATGGCCGAGCATCCTCCATGGCGAGTATGCCAAGGTGGCTATGTTAATGTGAGAGATGAGCATGTTAATGTGAGATGGCCGAGCATCCTCCACGGAGAGTATGCCAAGGTGGCTATGTTAATGTGAGAGATGAGCATGTTAATGTGAGATGGCCGAGCATCCTCCACAGAGAGTATGCCAAGGTGGCTATGTTAATGTGAGAGATGAGCATGTTAATGTGAGAGATGAGCATGTTAATGTAAGATTGCTGAGCATCCTCCATGGCGGGTGTGCCAAGGTGGCTATGTTAATGTGAGAGATGAGCATGTTAATGTGAGAGATGAGCATGTTAATGTAAGATTGCTGAGCATCCTCCATGGCGAGTGTGTCAAGGTGGCTATGTTAATGTGAGAGATGAGCATGTTAATGTAAGATTGCTGAGCATCCTCCATGGCGAGTGTGCCAAGGTGGCTATGTTAATGTGAGAGATGAGCATGTTAATGTGAGAGATGAGCATGTTAATGTAAGATTGCTGAGCATCCTCCATGGCGAGTGTGCCAAGGTGGCTATGTTAATGTGAGAGATGAGCATGTTAATGTGAGAGATGAGCATGTTAATGTAAGATTGCTGGGCATCCTCCATGGCGAGTGTGCCAAAGTGGCTATGTTAATGTGAGAGATGAGCATGTTAATGTGAGATGGCTGAGCATCCTCCACGGAGAGTATGCCAAGGTGGCTATGTTAATGTGAGAGATGAGCATGTTAATGTGAGAGATGAGCATGTTAATGTGAGAGATGAGCATCTTAATGTGAGAGATGAGCATGTTAGTGTGAGAGATGAGCATGTTAATGTGAGAGATGAGCATGTTAATGTGAGAGATGAGCATGTTAATGTGAGAGATTAGCATGTTAATGTGAGAGATGAGCATGTTAATGTGAGAGATGAGCATGTTAATGTGAGAGATGAGCATGTTAATGTGAGAGATGAGCATGTTAATGTGAGAGATGAGCATGTTAATGTGAGAGATGAGCATGTTAGTGTGAGAGATGAGCATGTTAATGTGAGAGATGAGCATGTTAATGTGAGAGATGAGCATGTTAATGTGAGAGATTAGCATGTTAATGTGAGAGATGAGCATGTTAATGTGAGAGATGAGCATGTTAATGTGAGAGATGAGCATGTTAGTGTGAGAGATGAGCATGTTAGTGTGAGAGATGAGCATGTTAATGTGAGAGATGAGCATGTTAATGTGAGAGATGAGCATGTTAATGTGAGAGATTAGCATGTTAATGTGAGAGATGAGCATGTTAATGTGAGAGATGAGCGTGTTAGTGTGAGAGATGAGCATGTTAATGTGAGAGATGAGCATGTTAATGTGAGAGATGAGCATGTTAATGTGAGAGATTAGCATGTTAATGTGAGAGATGAGCATGTTAATGTGAGAGATGAGCATGTTAATGTGAGAGATGAGCATGTTAGTGTGAGAGATGAGCATGTTAGTGTGAGAGATGAGCATGTTAATGTGAGAGATTAGCATGTTAATGTGAGAGATGAGCATGTTAATGTGAGAGATTAGCATGTTAATGTGAGAGATGAGTGTGTTAATGTGAGAGATGAGCATGTTAATGTGAGAGATGAGCATGTTACTGGGAGAGATGAGCATGTTAATGTGAGAGATCAGCATGTTAATGTAACATCGCCGACCAGCAACCTTGAGGATGGCGCGCGAGATAGCTGTGTTAGTGTTAGAAATTTAATCTGTTAATGTAAATATCAGAGAGCTGAAAATAACAACTAATATTGGAAGGTGGTAGGATGGGAACATCACAGCCAGTTATGCCTTAAACTGGTTAATAACGTCCTTCCAATGATTTCTCAGTTTGTACCCATCTTCTCGGGTTGAAATTGTGTCTGTGTCTATATACATGGATGGCTTCATGGGTTTGCAATGTCCCTTCGTCTTAGAAAAATCAATTTCGTGTGAGCCCGCCGCACTAAAACAATGATCAGCCATGGCCTAGATATTGGTCCTACCGTGTTTCAGATCTGCCTTATGTTCACGAACACGGTCCGAGACATGTCGCTTAGTTTCCCCAATGTTACTGCTGCCACAGACACAGCTAAGTTTGTAGACACCGGGGTATTGCATGTCAGGGATCACATCCTTCACAGATGGGATCAGATCACGAATTTTTATGTACTGTGTTAAATCAAACCTGTTAGCTTATGATGTGTCGTAGTAGCTTATGATGTCAGCTTATGGATGTGTAGTTTTTGTGAACGAGATCGAAAGTATAAATATAATTGACCTTTGACATGGTGATCTGTTCGTTAGGCTTATTGGCACTGGCCATGCTTATCATCATTACAATACACAATAGCCTGGTGTATGTCGTGAGCCTCTTTTGAAAATTATACAATGGACAGACCTAATAATAATGCACTTCATTTTGCGTACAATATTTTGTGGATATAAATTACCGTGAGCCAAACCCGTCGCTGGTATAATGACGGCGCACACTTTATATTCACCTGTAGGCAATCCATAGACTAACAATACAAACACTATACGGGCCGCCCATGAAGTCCCACAGGCCAGAGCAGAAATCGGTACTGAGGTAACAGGACTGTGGTTAGTTTAACACGTAGGCTTCCACCACCAATATCATCCATAATGGAGGTTTTTTTTTTGGGTTAGATCGCGTAAATATATAAATGTGTCGTTAAAACCCGCCACCACGCAACATCATGCATAATGTACGTTGCCGCAGTAATACCCCCGCCCCCCACTTTGCGCAAGAGCGCAGAAGCGTGGTCACCACATCTACGCCGCTATATAAGGAACGGAACAGGTGGACTTCTCCACAAGTCTGGCTGTCGCCTGATGAAGCCGGTTGTAATTACTGGCGAAACGTCGTTACTCAGATTGTAAATGTTGTGGCTTGGCTCTCCAACACACCGGTTAGTGCTGTACTGGTATACTACACTATACACTACACTATACACGTCACTATACACTAGTGCTGTACACGTGACGAATTGGCCACGTTCTGTTTACGTGACAACCCTTACCAGTTGGCTGTGTCGGGTGGTGGCGGGTTTTAACGACACATATTTATGCGATCCAACCCAAAAAAACTATTATGGAGGACTGTGGTTGTGCCCGTTGAATTACATGGCTCATGAGAGCTAATGCAATGGACACCAATGCATTTGTTCCTTGACCAGGTGCAGTCTGATGCTATCGTATCTCCTTACTCTGCAGTTTGACGGAGTGGCAAAGCTGTCAGCCCATGTGGTTCACCCCTATTCTTGTACAGGGAAATTGAGTATTCAGGTCCGTACGGCGTAAAGCCGTTTCAATACGGGCAAATAAAAACAAAAGTTTATTTGATTGTGTTTCTCCCTTGTCATGGGACTCGGTAGGATGAACGTTGAGGTTTGTAAGGGGTACGGGGTGACCAGTAAGGTGTGAATTGGTCTGTAATGAGGTAGGCACTGATAAGGGGTTGGCTGCGTTTTTTGACCGTTCATGGTTGTTGTTGACGTTTTTGTTGACGTCGTCGTTGTGGTTAACGACGTGGTTCTTGTTGATGACCTCATTGCCGTTGACATCATTGTTGTTGCTGCTGACATTGTTGACATCGTTGTTGTTGTTGTTGTTGCTGACTGCGTTGTAACCGTGAACGTGGCAGCGCTGGAATGCGACGTGGTGGATGCCAGCGGCCCCCTGCGTTCGCCGGACGTCACCGACCCCGAGGGGTTTGACGTGGAGTCGTGGAGCCGCGCCGTCACGCCCGCCTTCCTCAAGCAGCTGGAGCCCAGCACCGTCAAGCGCCAGGACGTCATCTACGGTGAGAGGGCCGGAGGTCCGGCGGGCGGCGCTCGTGTCAAATTGCGCTTTTTAAAAAATATGACGCCGGTGTAAAATTTGAATAAAGCCAACCTGGAAACCGACCCGGGATTCGAGTGCCCGGTGCCTCCACTAGAGGGGCGTTTCCCCCCCCCCCCCCCCGAGAGACGCACAGCCCCCCACTCCCCCCGCCCCCTCCCCTGAGGTTGCTGAAGCCTGGCCTGGAAATGTTCCGGCTCGATGCTTTGACAGGTGAAGAGAGCGAGAGGGAAAACCGGAAAACCGAGGCCGCCTAGGGATTGATCCTACGACCTCAAATGTTCCAGCTCAGTGGGCCCAGCCCAGGCAATCACCCCCCCCCCCAAATAGACACCCAGCCCCAGGGCTTGAACCCAGGGCCTCCAATGTTCTGGTTCAGCTCCCTGACACATGTTATCAGCGTCTGAGGGAGACACGCGGATGCCTCTTTTTAGTTTTTGTCTCGAATGCACATCAAATTGTTGCTCCTGATTTTTTTCAATTTTGTTTTAATCGATTACCGTTGTTTATATTTGTATACTGTATCTGCTTTGTTTTTTTTTTGATTGTTTAATTACTCCAGTTGGTTTTCATGTTAGTTAATTGTTCCTCAAGCCACTTTACAAGGCTGTACAATGTGGATTACCCAGTGTCCAAACTCGACCACATCTCAAAACTCTGTAGAGAAACAGTGAGGATAGAGGCCCATTTCCTCACATAGAGACATACTCATATAGACACCCATATACTCATATAGAAACCAATAACCTCGCATAGAGACCTATATAATCACATACAGACCCATATACCTACATAGACCCATAACCTACGACTCATAACCTCACATAGAGACCTATAACCTGAGACCCAATACACATAAAGAGACCCACAAACTCACAAAGAGACCCACAAACTCACATAGAGACCCACAAACTCACATAGAGACCCACAGACTCACGTAGAGATCCACAGACTCACATAGAGACTCACAGACTCACGTAGAGACTCACAGACTCACATAGAGACCCACAGACTCACACAGAGACCCACAGACTCACATAGAGACCCACAAACTCACATAGAGACCCACAAACTCACATAGAGCCCCACAGACTCGCATAGAGATCCGCAGACTCACATAGAGACCCACAGACTCGCAGAGACCCACAGACTCGCATAGAGACTCACAGACTCACATAGAGACCCACAGACTCACATAGAGACCCACAGACTCACATAGAGACCCACAGACTCACATAGAGACCCACAGACTCACATAGAGACTCACAGACTCACATAGAGACCCACAGACTCACATAGAGACTCACAGACTCACATAGAGACCCACAGACTCACACAGAGACCCACAGACTCACATAGAGACCCACAAACTCACATAGAGACCCACAAACTCACATAGAGGCCCACAGACTCGCATAGAGATCCGCAGACTCACATAGAGACCCACAGACTCGCAGAGACCCACAGACTCGCATAGAGACTCACAGACTCGCATAGAGACCCACAGGGACTCGCATAGAGACCCACAGACTCACATAGACCCACAGACTCACATAGAGACCCACGACTCACATAGAGACCCACAGACTCACATAGAGACCCACAGACTCACATAGAGACTCACAGACTCGCATAGAGACCCACAAGCTCACATAGACAGACTCACACAGAGACCCACAGACTCGCATAGAGACTCACAGACTCACATAGAGACCCACAGACTCGCATAGAGACCCACAGACTCACACAGAGACCCACAGACTCACGTAGAGACTCACAGCCTCACATAGAGACCCACAGACTCACATAGAGCCCCACAGACTCACATAGAGACCCACAGACTCGCATAGAGACCCACAGACTCACATAGAGACCCACAGGGACTCGCATAGAGACCCACAGACTCACATAGAGACTCACAGACTCGCGTAGAGACCTACAGGGACTCGCATAGAGACCCACAGACTCACATAGAGACCCACAGACTCGCATAGAGACTCACAGACTCACATAGAGACCCACAGACTCGCATAGAGACCCACAGACTCACACAGAGACCCACAGACTCACGTAGAGACTCACAGCCTCACATAGAGACCCACAGACTCACATAGAGCCCCACAGACTCACATAGAGACCCACAGACTCGCATAGAGACCCACAGACTCACATAGAGACCCACAGGGACTCGCATAGAGACCCACAGACTCACATAGAGACTCACAGACTCGCGTAGAGACCTACAGGGACTCGCATAGAGACCCACAGACTCACATAGAGACCCACGGACTCGCATAGAGACCCACAGACTCACATAGAGACTCACAGACTCACATAGAGACCCACAGACTGACATAGAGACCCACAGACTCACATAGAGACCCACAGACTCGCACAGAGACCCACAGACTCACGTAGAGATTCACAGACTCACGTAGAGACTCACAGACTCACACAGACCCACATACTCACACAGAGACCCACAGACTCACATAGAGACCCACAGACTCACATAGAGACCCACAGACTGACATAGAGACCCACAGACTCGCATAGAGACCCACAGACTCACACAGAGACCCACAGACTCACACAGAGACTCACAGACTCACACAGAGACTCACAGACTCACGTAGAGACCCACAGACTCACACAGAGACCCACAGACTCACACAGAGACTCACAGACTCACACAGAGACCCACAGACTCACATAGAGACCCACAGACTCACATAGAGACTCACAGATTCACGTATAGACTCACAGACTCACGTGGAGACTCACAAACTCACATAGAGACCCACAGACTCACATAGAGACCCACAGACTCACACAGAGACCCACAGACTCACATAGAGACTCACAGACTCGCATAGAGACCCACAGGGACTCGCATAGAGACCCACAGACTCACACAGAGACCCACAGACTCACACAGAGCCCCACAGACTCGCATAGAGACCCACAGACTCACGTAGAGACCCACAGACTCGCACAGAGACCCACAGACTCACACAGAGACTCACAGACTCACATAGAGACCCACAGACTCACATAGAGACCCACAGACTCACATAGAGACCCACAGACTCACATAGAGACCCACAGACTCACATAGAGACCCACATACTCACGCAGAGACCCACAGACTCACACAGAGACCCACAGACTCGCACAGAGACCCACAGACTCACACAGAGACTCACAGACTCACGTAGAGACCCACAGACTCACACAGAGACTCACAGACTCACACAGAGACCCACAGACTCACATAGAGACTCACAGACTCGCATAGAGACCCACAGGGACTCGCATAGAGACCCACAGACTCACACAGAGACCCACAGACTCACACAGAGCCCCACAGACTCGCATAGAGACCCACAGACTCACGTAGAGACCCACAGACTCGCACAGAGACCCACAGACTCACACAGAGACTCACAGACTCACATAGAGACCCACAGACTCACATAGAGACCCACAGACTCACATAGAGACCCACAGACTCACACAGAGACCCACAGACTCGCACAGAGACCCACAGACTCACACAGAGACTCACAGACTCACGTAGAGACCCACAGACTCACACAGAGACCCACAGACTCACACAGAGACCCACAGGGACTCACATAGAGACCCACAAACTCACACAGAGACCCTCGTGGAGTTGGCGTTGGTTGTAAATGTAGAGAGGCACCGCCGCTGATGGGCAGGTCCGCACCAGTGGAGGCCGTGGATCTGCATACTCGATCCACCCCTCGCCCTGTGTGTACGTTGAACTTATTTCGCACCGTACCTAGCCAACATAGCCAACCGTGCTAATTAGAGGCGCTCTCTTTTCCTCCCAACCTCCCCCGCTCACTCTCCTCCTGATGTCTGCCTTGCCCCAACATCTCCTCCCGACCTCTCCCCCCATGACCTCTCCCCCCGTGACCTCTCCCCCCATGACCTCTCCCCCCGTGACCTCTCCCCCCGTGACCTCTCCCCCCGTGACCTCTCCGCCGCCCCACCCACCCCCCCGCACCCATCGGCGCCGCAGAGCTGATGCTGACGGAGATCCACCACGTGCGCACGCTGCACATCATGAGCGACGTGTTCGCGCGCGGCATGCGGGAGGAGGCCGCGCTGGAGGGCGGCACCATCGACGGCATGTTCCCTCGCCTCGCCGACCTCCGCGAGCTCCACGAGGCCTTCCTGGCCGCGCTGTGCGAGTGCCGGCGGCGCGCGCTGGAGGACACCGGCGGAGGTGGGGAGTCTCCGCACGACGACGATGCTGACGATGTTGACGCTGCTGCGTGGTCTTGTGCAGGCAGGAGAGCCTCGCCACCGAGCGTGGGAGGCTCGGGAGGGAGGGGAGGGTCCTGCAGAGGTTGGCGGTGGGGAACGATGATCGTGAAACTATTGGATTGGATCGTTTCCGTGAATAATAATCACGATGCTGATCAATTATATCCCGGCGACCCTAGGCGGCGGTATTGGCGGTGGCGGCGGTGCGCAAACCAACGGAAGCCTCGCTGGCGCCGGCGATGGGAAAAACTTCGTCATCAATCGCATCGGCGAGTTGCTGGTGCAACAGGTACGCCTGCTGTCGGGTTTGCTATCGCCGCAGCTCGCCGCCCGCCCCCGGCACGCCACACCCAGCACACCCCTCGCTCAGGCTGCGGCACGCCCGTCGCCGTGTTCCGGCGCGCGAGCCGGAGAGAGGAACAGTCGAGCGAGACGTCGATCCGTCGATCCCGCGGTGGGACGCGCGGGCTCAGCAAGGCGTGTTGTCTCAGTTCTCAGACGCGAGCGCGGAGAGGCTGGTGAACGTGTACGGGGAGTTCTGCGGGAGGCAGAAGGAGGCCGTGAGCCTCTACAAGGAGCAGCTCAGCCGCAAGGCCTTCCAATCCTTCGTCATGGTGAGGAACGCGTGAGTGATGGTGAGGAGAGACTGGTGAACGCGTGAGTGATGGTGAGGAGAGACTCCCGAACGCGTGAGTGACGGTGAGGAGAGAATCGTGAACGCGTGAGTGATGGTGAGGACACTCGTGAACGTGTGAGTGATGGTGAAGAGACCCCTGGTCGTGTGAGTGATGTTTGTCGAGTGTCAATTTGGCCAGTTTTCATGAAGATAACTTCCTAACATCAACAGAACTTTATTGCAACGATTTCTCCATATTGGGTGTCGGTTTTGTGAGGGACCGTGTCTCCCCACCCCCATTACAGACAGACGGACATACAGACGGACATACAGGCAGACGTACAGGCGGACGTACAGACGGACATACAGACGGACGTACAGGCGGACATACAGTCAGACGTACAGGCGGACGTACAGACGGACATACAGACGGACGTACAGGCGGACTTACAGGCGGACATACATACGGACATACATACGGACATACAGGCGGACATACATACGGACATACATACGGACATACAGGCGGACATACAGGCGAACGTACGCGCGGACGTATGCGCGGACGTATTGCGCGGACGTACGCACGAACGTACGCGCGAACGTACAGGCGGGCGTACACGCGGACGTACAGGCGGACGTACAGGCGGACGTACAGGCGGACATTCAGACGGACATACAGAGGGACCTACAGAGGGAGAAGCGCTAACGTATAAATGCTTTCATCCTTAGTTCGATTTAAAATAAAACAAAAACCCCGTGTAGAGCTCATAAACTGAGGTCAGTCTTTTGCTGTTGTGGGTCACAGAAGCAGAGCATGAATCCCAACACTCGGAGGCTGGGGGTTCCGGAGTGCATCCTCCTCGTGACCCAGAGGATCACGAAATACCCCGTCCTGATCGCCGAGATCCTCAAGCACACAAAAGGTCAGAGAACAACCCCCCCCCCCCCTCTCCTCCTTCACCGAAATTCCTCCGGCCTCAAACGCGCACGTTTCATACACACCGTGAAGTTAATTACCTCTGCTGCTTCCTCCACGTTAGTTTAAGCGGACTATCACACTGGAGCGATCTTTGTCGCATTAGGGAACCCCGAGTGAGCGGTCACTTAACCCCCCCCTCCCCCGCTGCCCACTCGCTCGGCCACTCCCTAACTCAACAACTCGCTGTTCTCAACAACTCCGCCCGCCTGCTGAATATCTTGCGCGTACCCTCGCTCGCCAAATTACCGGTTGCAGTTTACTTTTCTCGGTCGGTGTTGGCCGCCGAGGTCCTGACGGGTTTCTCTTTTCTCATTCCTGTCGCTCCGTGCCCCCTCCCGTATGCCGTTCCCGTTCCGCTGTGATGCGCACCGATGCCCACTTTGTTGAGGGCGATATTGGCACGTGAAATAATTTGATTGAGTTGCTTTGTTCACTCAAGCCACCGTCCATTCACTCCTTTGTCCCCCTCCCTCTCTCCATCTGCCCATCTACCCTCTCGTCCGTCCCCTCCGGGCCCCGTCCCCTCCGTACGTCAGACGACCCGGAGGAGCACGCGGAGCTGTCGCGAGCGCTGGTGCTGGTGAAGGACGCGGTGTCGGGCGTGGACGCGCGCGTGCGTGAGCGCGAGCGCCAGTGCTCCGTGGCGATGCGCGTCGACTCGCGCTCCCAGAGCCGCATCAACGGCCGCCCCTTCCTGCGCCGCGACCTCGCCTCGCCTGTGCGGCGCCTCCTGCACGAGGGCTCCGTCCAGTGGAAGACGGCCGCCGGGAGGAACAAGGGTGGGCACAGCGCGTCGCCCCCGTCGCCCTCCTCCTCCTCCTCCTCGTCGCCCTCCTCGTCACCCTTGTCGCCCGCGTCGCCGCCCTCGTCGCCCGCATGATCGCCCTCATCGTCACTGCCGCGCGTGTCGTCATCCTCATCGTCGTTTGTCAATATCGGCGTTGGGTGTCGGTGGCCCGCAGCGTTCAGTTCTCATCGGCATCATCGCCGCTGCCATCATCGTCATCATCGTCATTATCCCAAGCAGCAATATTCGTGTCTGCAGCAGCAGCAGCAGCATCGTTATTGTGACACACATTCTACTCACGCGATCTGAGCCAATAAAATCAATGACTCGCGGTTGCTGCTATCATGAACAACAACACCATCATCATCATCAGCATCATTGGTGTCGGTGTCATGAGTAGAATCGTTGACATCGTCGTCAGGAGCAAAAGTTGTTTACGTCATCAGCCTAAGAGCTGTCGCTTTCACTCGTTATATCGTTTATTATATTGACCACCAGAATTATATTGAGATCACTCATCATCATCATCACCATCATCATCGTCGTTATCATCATCATTAGTATCTGTCTCCACAATTGATCACTATTGGTAGTGTTAAAAGCATGAGCATCATCCCCAGCAGCATATATCCTGACATAAACGTCTCTATTTTGCAGAGGTCTGGGTCCTGTTGATGACGGATGTCTTAATTTTCCTTCAAGAAAAGGATCAGAAATACGTCTTCGCCTCCCTGGTGAGTCTTGAGCAGCGTGCACACACACGCAACACACACGCTCATCTACTTAGATAATGACCATAGCTGTTAACCCTTTCCCGTTCCGAGATGTCTGCGAGTTGCAGGGTAGAGTCCCGTTGACCGCTGAATCTCGGAACGTGCAAGCGGTTCGTGTTAATTTTATTTCGGGAGGCGTAGCGCCGTTGTTCTTTTAAGACACTACTCACCGCAGGGAACCGTGGCAACACGACCGGCACTCTATGATAGCTGGCGCTAAAACTGTGCCACACTCCCTGCCCGCACGGCCTTGTGGGAGCCCCGGTACCGATAAAGATATTACTTTTTTTCTTTTGTTTCCATTCCGTACGCGTACGTCATCGGAACGGCGGCGACGACGCGAGCCGGTAGGCGGCGGTTCTCCCCCCTCCTTGCCGTCTGTGGGCACGATGGCCTCTGCACGATCCGCCGGGGGGCCGCTTCCGGAGGCCCCCCGCTTGCGGGCAGGCGGGCGCCACCTCCAGCGACACTCCCGGCCGACCACAACCGGCCGAGTGCTCCATCTCCTCTGTGGCGACCCTCGCCCTCGCCCTCGCCCCCCGCCCCCTCCCCCGCCCCGACCCCAGGACCAGAAGGCGGCGGTGCTGGCGCTGCACAGGCTGATTGTGCGCGAGGTGGCGCTGGAGGAGTCTGAGATGTTCCTCATCAGCGCCTCCAACCCGGAGATGTACAAGCTGAACCTGCGCTCTCGGGAGTCGCGCGACGTCTGGATCCAGCGAATCCGCTCGGCGGTCGAGTGGTGGGTCTAACCGCGCCGCCGTCGATTTGTCAAAACCGCGCCGCAGGAAATCTCTCCCCTCTGATGGGGGCGGGGGGGGTGGACGTGCCTTTCTTTAAATCATTGATTATTGATTAAGTTTGTCGCGCCAGCTAGGCCAAGATTGGGCAAAACCCAGCCCACTTTTCACCCATGAAACTGGAGAGCAGCACACGGGCTCAGCGTGACGAACCAAAAGCTGAAACAGGCCCCAAAACACGTTTTGGTGACGCACGCACCTCAGTGATGCTTGCGGCATTGCATAAAGTTTGTATGCACGCGTGTTGAACTTCTCTCGCACCGTAACCGCGCTAGTCGCCGTGAGGTGTAGGGCCTCGCGCAGCCACGGGGGACCGCGTGAGGGTGAAGTCGCGGCCGTCGGGCACCCACCCCTGGTCCGAGCGCTCGCAGCGGTGCTAGTTGCGGCACCGGTGCCGTGGTTAAACCGCGCCACCACCGGTGCTTGGTGGTGGTGGTGGTGGTGCTGGTCCGTGAGCCCAAGATTACGGCATCATTAGATATCGGCATTTCGAGTCTATAACCTGTCCTTTCTGCTGTGTGTCCACACCACCACCCCCCCCCCCCCCCCGCAGCTGCACAGAGGATACGGTTTGTGCCACCGCAGAATTGGAGGAAACGACTCGGCTCAAACATTTCTGCGGTGAGACGTAGGCAGCAAACGCCACCATCGGCGTCGTCGGGAAAGAAAGCGTTATCATAATCAGAGGCGCCATTGTTATCACGTCGTCATCATCTGGAGTGTTGGTGGCATCGTTGTCATCAAAATCGTCAGCAGGAGGAGCGTCCACAGCAGTAGCGGCAGGAGCACAATTCATCTTCATTAACATCACCACCACCATCGTCAGCAGCAGGAGCAGTATAATTAATGACCATTCTATTGTAAGGTGGATGTATTTCTCACGAGGCCAGCTCGCATTATTTGCAGGTTAAACCGTAGATCTGAATTATCGGCATTGGCTTACGGGCAGAACTTTTGGCATGGTGATGGTGGTGATGATGATGATGAGATGCTAAAGATGATGACGACGAAGACTCTGACGACGATATTGATTAATGATGATGACAGTGGCGACAGAATGATGAGGATGAGATGCTTATTATGACGAGATGATCATGATAATGGTAACAAGACGACGATCTTGACTATGATGATGACGACGACGACGACGTTTGAACTGTCTCCCAGAGCGGCTGCTCGAGTTGGACCAGCGCGTGGGCAGCAGCGTGGAAGAGAAGTTGCGAATCTACGGCGAGATGAGCGGGGGCGAAGTGGTCTTCGGCACCAGGGCGCTGCTCCGCGCCGATGCCACGGAGCCTCCCAAGGCTGAGCCGATCGTCGCGCAGATCGCCCAGGAAGGTGCCGAACTCCCCGCCGCTGGCGCCCACTCTTCCCCTCCCCCCCCCGCCAAGTCAACGTGTGCTGGAGGGGCCCGGTGGTTATAAAGGCCGAGGTTGGCACCACCGAGGTTCTTGTTTTGAATATAGGCAGCCGTCTGTGATTAAACTCGGTGTGTGTGTATACGTTTAATTTATTGCGCCACGTACATAGCTGACCGTGCTAATGGAAGGTGCCGGGTTGTTGACTGCTTATGCACCACTGCCAACGCAGCGCAGGATCACCAAGTCATTAGTTTCTTCTCCGAGTGGTTCTTGACCAGCAGTGGCCTCTGTGATTTTCATCTCCGCTACCTCTGTCATTTCATCTCCGCCGCCTCGTACGCTGGCTCCCTCCGCTTCCTTTGCTTCCTTCTCTCGGTGTCGCTTGAGCAGCAGCATCAGCAGCATCAGCCACAACTCACGAAGACTTTATTGACCAACGGAAGCGGAGCGGAAATCCGAAGTGCGCAGAGTTTGTCTGTTCTGTGTATGCCTCCTCCTACGGCCACTCGAAAAACATTTGGCCGGTTCGTCTCCACGCGATGTCTCCGCGCGATGTCTCCGTGTGATGTCTCCGTGTGATGTCTCCTGGCGATGTCTCTGTGTGATGTCTCCGTGTGACGTCTCCATGCGATGTCTCCATGCGATGTCTCTGTGTGATGTCTCCGCGCGATGTCTCCTGGCGATGTCTCTGTGTGATGTCTCTGTGTGATGTCTCTGTGTGATGTCTCCGTGCGATGTCTCTGTGTGATGTCTCTGTGTGATGTCTCCGTGCGATGTCTCCGTGTGATGTCTCCTGGCGATGTCTCCGTGATGTCTCCTGGCGATGTCTCCGTGTGATGTCTCTGTGTGATGTCTCTGTGTGATGTCTCCGTGTGATGTCTCTGTGTGATGTCTCCGTGTGATGTCTCTGTGTGATGTCTCCGCGTGATGTCTCTGTGCGATGTCTCTGTGTGATGTCTCCTGGCGATGTCTCCACGTGATGTCTCCGTGTGATGTCTCCTGGCGATGTCTCCGTGTGATGTCTCCTGGCGATGTCTCCTGGCGATGTCTCCGCGTGATGTCTCCTGGCGATGTCTCCGCGTGATGTCTCCTGGCGATGTCTCCGCGTGATGTCTCCGTGTGATGTCTCCGTGTGATGTCTCCGTGTGATGTCGCTGTGTGATGTCTCCGTGTGATGTCTCCGTGTGATGTCTCCGTGTGATGTCTCTGTGTGATGTCTCCGTGTGATGTCTCCGTGTGATGTCTCTGTGTGATGTCTCTGTGTGATGTCTCTGTGTGATGTCTCCGTGTGATGTCTCCGTGTGATGTCTCCGTGATGTCTCTGTGTGATGTCTCTGTGTGATGTCTCTGTGCGATGTCTCTGTGTGATGTCTCCGTGATGTCTCTGTGTGATGTCTCTGTGTGATGTCTCCGTGCGATGTCTCCGTGTGATGTCTCCTGGCGATGTCTCCGTGTGATGTCTCCGCGTGATGTGTCCTGGCGATGTCTCCGTGCGATGTCTCCGTGCGATGTCTCCATGCGATGTCTCCGTGTGATGTCTCTGTGTGATGTCTCCGTGTGATGTCTCCTAGCGATGTCTCCGTGTGATGTCTCCGTGCGATGTCTCCGCGTGACGCTGTCTCCGTGTGACGCTGTCTCCGTGTGACGCTGTCTCCGTGTGACGCTGTCTCCGTGTGACGCTGTCTCCGCTGTCTCCACTGTCTCCGCCGTCTCCGCGCGTGCTCAGTGCAAGCCCTGGAGGAGCTGGTGAGCTCGCCACTGCTGCCGCCCTCTGCCGTGCCGTCGCGGCACGGCAGCGTGGTGAGCTGCCCCGAAGCGACCTCCGTGAGCACGCCGCCGCCGCCCCGACGCTCCGGCACCTTCTCAGCCTTCGACTGCCGTGACGAGCGTGAGTGGGGGCCCCCCCCCCCCCCACCACGAGCATTCCGCACGCCGGCCCCACGAAAGGATCCGTGGCGCCCCCCTCTGGTCGTAATGACCTCTGTAGAGTCGCCGATTTAAATTTCGGGCGTTACACTGACGATACGGGAGGGGTTACTGTTATTTAAACAAAACGCCGCGCTAGCCTTTACATTCAGCCAAATGGAGCGAACACATCTACATATGAAACTGATTGAATTTTTTTTTTCTGTTTTTTACAACAATTCAAAGAAGCGGACAAAAACGAGACCACAAAAACGGATCGGTTTCTGAGTTAAGTCGCCAGGGGTTCATTCGTTCCGTTCACTCCGTGAGCCTCAATGCAACATGAGCATTGCATTCCTGGTCACGCAATGTTACTTACGCTGCCGCCTTCCAGGAGCCTCGCAGTGAACGCCTGTCTTTAGTTCGTGAACACATGATGAGCACGGGGGACACGATCGGAATATGACTGCTGAATAAGTGTACGTATTAAAGATGAACAACGCAAGCAGCGGAGCGATGCAATCTGAGCGATGCAATCGGAGCGATGCAATCGGAGCGATGCAATCGGAGCGATGCAATCGGAGCGATGCAATCGGCCCGTGCGCAGGTTGCCGGCTGGATCGTTGCGTCGCGGTACATTGACGGATGGCGGCAGCTTCGGAAGGCCTTCATCCAGCAGCGGATAGATGATGATAGCTAGCAAGCCAGCGCAACTTTCAGGGTCTCCGGCCTGAAGACCTGGGCCCAGTTACCAGTGGTAGATGTTCGGGACCCATCCTTGAGTCCGAGCCAGTTTTCCAACAGGCTTAATGCAGCGCGGCGTTGTCGTCGTACCTCCAAAAGGGGCTTAGCGCGTGCGGTCAGCGCGGCGCGTTCGGGATGGACCGGACCCCTCGGCGCTCCGACGCTCGCCGGCAGTAAATGTCGGTAACAAAGCCCCGTCGCCGTGTCCTCCTTGCGCAGTGCCAGGGCTGGCCGCTCCTCACCGATTGTCCCTGACCACCGAGACCCAAATCTACGATCCCCCGCCCGAGTTCAAGGACTCGGTGAAGTCCGGCGGGCGCCGCAATGGCACCGATGCCTCCTGCTCGTCCTCCTCCTCCTCGGCAGAGCCTGACACTGGCGACGCTTGCGCCGGAGCCGAGCTCTGCTCTTCACTGGACCCGCAGGCGGTGAGTGTCAAAGTTGAAGTTGCTTTAAAATCGAGGCCGAGAAGTCATTGGGGGGGGGGGCAGTGCCGTTGATGCCGCCACACCGCCGCCATCCCTTCATTCGTTCCGTTCGAGTGGTAAAGATGGCACCAGGCCTTCGAGGTTCTCTCTCAGAGTATTCCACCCTCTCTGGCCCTCCTCCTACACCCTGCACACGCGTCCCACCATCACAGCCTCCTTTTCCTGACTACATTGCTAAGACATTTTTTTTTCTTAAAAGCTTTTTCTCCTTGTTAATGTTGTTTGTTTTGAGAGTGTGAGGAGAGGGGGGTTATTTGTAGCTGCTGTTAAATCATGAGCCTGCGCGCTTATATTAGGTTTGAGAATTGCGTTAGTTATTAACTTACGTGCTTTTAGCTCTGTGCAGGGCCTTGCGACCTCTGGGTGAAACGCGCTTTGCAAGTGTAAATTGTATATTATTATTACATACTTCCCTGCCGTGTTCTCTTACGAGCTTGCAAGTTGCTTAACCTAACGTGCAAATAAGGTTCTTGGCCGCCCTTGCACGCACCCTTACACAAAGCCAGAAGTTGCTTGTCCCGGTTTATTTGTTGATGTCCAACTCACAAAGTGATCGTGAACGTAAACATATAAAAGCACGAGGTTGGTGATTGAGCAGCACGGACGCGTTTGGGCTTACTCGGCTATTCCTAACCTGGGGTACACGCACCCCATGGGGGTGCGAGATGCCCTTTCTGGGGGTGCAAGACACGGGCAGATTTTTTTTTTAGAGGGTAAATAATCGAAAACACAAATTTAGCACGGGCACGTAAGTAACAACTTACTTTATTTCATCAAACCCTGTGTATTTATTCACATGAAACATTGTTTTACGGTTGAGAACCAAAGCACTGCAAGGCTGCAGTGAAGGTTACGAACCACTGGGCCAACTGATGCCCCGCTGTGCTTAAACGCAGCTCCGTGGACTCGGACGAACCCAGGGGTACGATTCTCAGCCACGGCCACGTCAGACGTGAGCTATCGTTGAGCTGGTTCTGGGCCTCCCCCTCCCTCCCTTCATCAACCCACTCTTAACGAGCGCGGGTGAAGTATGTTCAAGGAAAACAACGCCCGCAATGCCAAGCATGCGGTGGGGGGGAGGCCTTCATCCAGCGAGTGCACTGACGGAGGGCTCTGATTGTTAACCGTGGCGCTGAGAGGTGGAAGGGTTTTGGCACAGTCGTAGCAGCGTTGCGCTGTGAAACTCGTGACCCGCTTCAAATTTCCAGCCGAGGCTAACATCGGTGGTGAGTGACATCCGAACCGGTCCTGGGTGCCTCCTTTTCGCCAAGCCGCATTGACCAGAACGGTGAAGTATGGTCAAACAAAATCCCGCAACTCGACGTGGCGGTGGGGGGGGCGGGGGCGGGGGGCTTCGTCCAGCAGTGGATTGAATGTAAAAAGTGTGCCCCGTTTCCTCCTCTGCTCCAGCTGCTGATGCACGTCGTCAAGCTCAAGGGCCTGGTGGACATCCTGAAGGTGAGAAGGAAAACGATCGGCGTGCACGCCACACGGTGTTCCGCGACGAACAGGGGTCACGTGGGTCACGTGGGGCACGTTGGGGCGCGTTGCTTGTCCCTGGCGACACCGGCCTCGCGTACAAACGCACGAAAAAATGGACCCATGCCTCCAGATTGCAGCTATGACCCTGAACGCGGTTGTGAATCGTCTCGGCCACAGTTTTCTGCGGTGGGAGCGTAGGGAAGGGTCCCCTCCGTGGCAGCAACGACTTTCTACCGTTGCCCCATTCATATCGGATCGTCTTTATGGGAGCTATCGTGACCCCCCCACGCCCCCTGCTACCCCCTTCCCCCCCATTCATCGGGCCAACGATACTTCGTTCGCCCGATACTTCGCAAGCTGGAAACAACATTCCCGGCCCTGCTTCCAGCACCACACGCAAAGACAAAAGATTCCCCGCGGAGCCTGCGCCGCGCCGTTGGGGCGAGTGCCGTGAGCGGACGCCTATTGAAGGCCGGCACGGCGAGGGCGTCGCCAACGCCTGGCCTCCTTTTACTGCCTCGCCGTTGCTGGCGTCCACGGCTTTGTCCGCTGCGCCCGGCGTGAACGCTGTAACCCGCCCCATCCCGCCCATTACCCATCATCCCTCACTTTCACCTTTGGCACCTGAGCATAGTGCAGCGGAGGCTCGGAGCTGCCACCATCATCGTCGTCATCATCAATCGCTCGACCTAGTCACGTCCAAAAATTCTGATGAAATTCGAAGTCCTAATTTTTTCATGATAGCATCAATCGAGGTAGGGAGGAACACTCGCGCATACGGTACACCTGCTTCTACCCTTCCCTTCCTAGAGGCCTTCTCATTGCATCGCGCGTGCAACAATGTATGTACGTATGTTGAACTTCTTTCACGACGTACGTGCACATTCACACGCACGTGCCCTTTGACCCCCCAGGTGGCGGTGAGCCGCCAGGACTCGGCGCTGGAGCTGCAGCGTTTCTTCGAGCGCGAGGGCAGCCGGGCGCCACGGCCCGGCAGCCTCTTCCTGGAGCACGAGAAGCAGCGCAACATGGAGAAGCAGCGCGAGGAGCTGGCGAGCGTGCAGCGCCGCAAGGCCGAGCTCGTGCGCGAGCAGGAGCAGTGGGAGCACAAGCAGGCGAGCTGCATCGCGGGCGCCACGCGACGGTCTCGGGCGCCGGTCGGCGGCGGCGCCGGCGTCGTCGCCGAGGGCCGCGCTGCCCTCGCCGCCGCTGTCGGCGTCGTTCGTTGTGTTGAACCAAGGGCGTTGGGGTGCATGGGGTGGATTTAAAGACTTTTGTCGAGTTTTGTTTGCCTGTGCGTCCGTATGTGCCGCCCTGTCCGGAGATCGTCTTCATCGATACTGTTTCTACCATGGCCATCATTGTCACCACCAATCACCATTGTCTGCAACATCACCACCGCCACTGCCTATCCACCGCACCGCACCCGTGCCCCCTCTCCTCGTAATCTCTCTCTGCCCCCGTGTCCCATCACCCCCCACCCCCACCGTGTTCCACCACAGGAGCAGCAGCAGCGGGTGCTGGAGGAGCGCCAGCGATCTCTGCGGCACCAGGAGGAGGAGAGCCGCCGGGCCCGCGAGGAGTCCGAGCGCCACAGGCAGGAGCTGCAGCAGCAGCGCGAGGACTACCAGCGCGACCTCGAGCACCTGCGTGACAGCCAGCGCACCGTCGAGCGCGAGCGCCAGCGCCTCGAAACCCTGCAGAGCCGCCTGCAGCAGCGCAAGCAGGGCCTCGCGGAGACGCACGACGGCACCAAGGTTCGCGTCGCGTCGATGTGGCGCGCGGGTCGCGCGAGCGGATGGTCGCGCCGGCGCCGGCGCCGGCGCCGGCGCCGGCGGCCGGTTCGGTCGCGCCACGCGAACAGCGACGACATGACCGCGGTGGAGCCAGCGCCGCAATTGCTTGGCCCGCGCCGCTGCCCGCTGAAAGGTCGCCACTGTTCGGGGGGAGCGCTGGAGAGCGCCCACCCGCCTCTCTCTCTCCGGGGTATTTTGTCCGACACTGCAACGCCCGTCACTCGTCTTGGAGGCCACCCACACTTTTTAACCCACCGCAGAACAAAGACAGATCTCCGTTTCGCCTGTAAACAAACCGGTGGGGCGAGTGTTGTTAGGGCAGCACCTATGAAGACCGGCACGGCACACCAGGGGGTGGGTGGCCAACACCACGCCCGGCTGCCTTTGTCTCCCCGGTGGCGATGTTTTACACTCCGTGCCAGGTACTCGTTTGAGGCTAATTCGACCTAGGGGAGGCCCAGGACAGGTGTCAGATAATCGTCACTGGGTGTTGGCCGCGAGCGGGAAACGAACTCGGGTCACCGGGTTTCGTCGCGCGACGCTTCAGCTCCCCCCACCACACACGCTCACACGACCTGCTGATGGCATACGTGCGGCGCACCTATTTGCAGCGCTCCCTCCATGGAGAAGGGGCCAGGTGATTTAAATAAACCTGCTCCGTTGCTTTTTTTAACTGCCGCGCCACGAGGTCAATTCGAACCGGCGGCCTTCTGGGTCCAGTGTGTGCCGACCGTTACACTGGCGCGGAGCCAGCCACCCGAAATCCCAACTAGAACTCTCGCCCCCCCTCCTCTGTGCGTCCTCCAGACAGGACGCTCGTCTCGCTCCAACAGTTTCCTGGGTGACCTGACGGGCGAAGGCGGCGGTGGCGGCAGCAACCACCACCACCAGCAGCATCACCACCACCATTCGGCGAGCTTCAGCATCGGAGATGGGGACGCCGGTGGAATCGAGATGGAACCTGCGCTCGCTCCTCCGCCCTACCCCGGCGTCCGAATCGGCGGCGGCGCCGGCGGGGGCGGCGGCGTCGGCGGCGGTGTCGGAGGCGGCAGCGGCGGTTCGTCCGTCCCCGGCAATTCCCTGCACCGCGAGGAGAGCAACGCCTCGACGTTCGGACGCAACCCCACGTACGGGAGCTACCGCGTGCCCCAGCATCTGGTCAGCGCCACCAATCAGAGCCTCAAGCCCACGGATGTGGTGCAGCAGATCCCCAAGAAGCTCCTGGCCGAGGGAGGAGGCAAGGTGAAGGATAAAGACAAGGACAAGGTATGGTGTGCGTGGTATAACTCGCGAGCCTTTGTCGATGAAGGCCTGCCCCACCCTGCGTCGTGTTGGTTGAGGACCAGCGTGCTTCGATTCCTGCAGGCTCCTCCCACGTGCTAAATACGTGAGACCCAGGGCATCCTCAGGGACTAGGGCCCATCCCACCAGCGAGTCCCAAGGGCATCCACGAATACAAAACTGGAATTTGCACGGTGGCTGTTAATTGTATTGACCCCAGTAAGATTACGTTGATGGGCTGAGAGTTACCAGCATGTCTTAACCAGTGAGGGCTCGTTAATACAGCAAGCAACACTCATGCATTGACTGACAAACACCTTAATATATAGAGAACCGCAGAGCTTGGGCGATTGTTGGCGCCAGCTCACCGCGTTGCTGCCTTCCTGCTTTTCTGTGGTTCCTTGCATCTCACGAGTCGTGGAGCGAACGCTGTGCGGCTCGTCACAAGTTGAAGTCATCATCATTACCAAGTCTGTTTTACAAGGGGAGACGTGGACATTTTGAAAAGAAAACCGCCGCAACCTATCCAGAGTCGAGTATGAGAGGGGCGCACGGCCGGAGCCCGGCGTTTCGGCCATGAACCCTTGCGCAGCGGGTGGTTCTCATCGGTGCTCATCCTGTCCTGTGCAGAGTTGATCAGCAGCAGCAGCAGCAGCAGAAGCTAACGGGCCAAAACAAGCTAACGCGTTTGCTGTGTCTGTGTCTGCCCGCTTGCCCGCCTGTCTTTTTTTGTCTTCTGGCCTCTGTGTCCGCTCGTCTCTGTGTGCTCTAACCTCACCCAGGATAAGGACAAAGATAAGTTTGGCAAGAGCAAGCATCACAGCCTGAGAGAGCCATCCAGCTCAAGCTCCGCACAGGGTGAGTGTGCCCTTTATTATACATGTAATATATCCCCTATTAATGTATGCATATAATGTACCCCCGATTGATACTGATATAAGGAGCATAACCATCACGCGAGCTCTGATTATCCACGCTGCAGCTTTTGGATGGCCTTGGAACAATGACGGTCACTGCATTGTGCGCTTTCAGATGCGCTTCTGCGGCCGTCTGGAATGCTCTTCCTTCCGATACTAGGAAGCCACTGGAGCGATGCACTTTTAAATCTAGATTGAAAACTCATTTCTTTAGAACTGCTTTTTGTGTTTAGTTTGTTGTCCTTCCCCCGGACCTCCAATTAGCACGGTTGGCTACGTACGGTGCAAAAGAAGTTCTACATACATACGTAATTTACTTTCTTATTCATATATTTAATATATCCCCCTACTGAGTTTGTGAAATACACATTTGTCCATCATTTTGTTGCCTTCAACCCAGGAATCGAAGGGTGGGCAGAATCGTTTAACACAGTGGTCGGTTCGTTGTGGGTCTTCATTTCAGCACAGCAAGCAGGTTTTGCGACCTGTCTGCCCTATCCGCCTCCTATTCATCCTTGGTTTAATCTGGGTAGGAAATAGCCAAATATCCCCTTTGCAGGACCCTCCTGAAAAAGGGGGTCTGGAAACTCCGTTGCCGGACGATGTTGTTGTTGTTATATTCTTGGTTCTTTCGGTAAAGTCACGTTGAAGGGAAACAATAAAAAAATAAAAATAAAATATAAAACATATGAAATATTATTTTATTGTTTCCCTTCTACTTGACTTTACCGAAAGAACCAAGAATATGAATCCCTGCAGTCACGAAAGCTTTAAATCAAAGTTGTTGTTGTTGGCGGAGTGGCGACTCGGGGATTCCGCGCACCGCGCTGGGGTAACCTGGTGGTCCCAGCTCGATTCCCGGCCAGGCTAATGTCGGTGGCAAGCGTTACCTGAACCTGCCCCTGTGGGAGGCTTCTCCCCGTTCACCATCCCGCACTCGCCAGCATCATGAGGTTATCAAATTGAATCACGTGATGTGTGCGTAAAGGGTGTACCTTACGTGCGAGGGTAAATCATGCGAGCCAAACGATAACGATGTGTATTCCCAAACGCCCCCCCCCCCCTCCCCCCCCCGCTTTCCCTCGCCAGACGTGTCACTCCACGGCACCATGCCGAGGCAAACCAAGCCGCCAAATTTCTCAGGCACCAACGTCACGGCGGCTCCGACGAAACGTCCGATGGTGCCGCCGTCTGGCCTCAAGGTTGCGGGGGGTGGTGGTAGTCCCCACCCTGGTACCACCGCCGCCGCCGCCGCCGCCGCCGCCGCCACCGCCGCCGCCGGCGGAACAGGACCTCCCCTGAACCAGGACGGGCCCGAGACCGGCAGCTCCGAGCAGGTGTTCTTCTGCTGAAGTTCAGGGCCACCGGACGGTACCGACGCCACGTGCTCTGGCCGAGACGGCGGAGGGCGGGCGGGCGGACGGACGGAGAAGCGACGGCGGCGGAGGGGGACTTGATTCGAGCGAGATGGCCGGCCGCGAAGCCGTGCGAGCCGCTCGCTTGGACGTGGTTTGCGAGCCCGCTTTGACGCCTCTGTCGCGGTTGACGACTTGAAGGTCTCTTTTGGCGACGCGCGTTCTGCGCTAGAACGTCGAGTACCGCGCGTCTCCTGCGCGTCTCCCGCGCGCGAGCGAGCGATTGAGCGTGCGAGGGGTTTGGGTTCGATGCGCGTCGATGGAACTGTTTTTGTTTTAATGCACTGGCATCGGTGGACTTGACCTGCGTTGCGAAAATAGCAGAAGAGGGGAATGCGTTGAGGATCGAAAGCGCAATGAATTATGGCGCGCAATATCGTGCTTCGATTGAGCCTTATGGGGGTTTTAATTTTTTTATTCAATAGGCGATCACAAAAAATATTTGTAACATTTTCATACCGCTTTTATAGAGGCTGTAAGAGAAGCTTGCATATGCCTTGCGCATGTGTACAAGAGCCGTATGTGTTAAAACACAATGCTTGAAATGGAGATGGCGTTTTAAATAATAATACATTCCAAGGTTATCGTTTTAGGTCGGTCCCTCTGCCTGTGAAATGGCATTTTTTAAAATGCGCGTATTTATAAGAGACAGAATGAAAACATAAAAAAACCGTGTTCTTGAACAACGAATAACCACATTTTATGGGCAATTATTTACGTTCCACGCAGACAGGATCCAGGATGCTTCTATTGCTAAACAGCTTAAATGTTCACCATTGCGCTATTTAACAAAAATAAAACGCTAAAAATTCCAATAATACATGAAATGCTTTAATGGACACCGTTCTATTTAATTAGTTGATAGCACTTTAAGGATATTAAGAACCGTTAAGCTGGCAATTCTCATCGTAAGTACGCTTTGGAATGTGTGCCACTAGCTTAGCGACTACTGAACACAACGCCATGAGTTATAGAAGGGTTCTTCTTTATTTGTCAAAAGAAGAACTTGGCGGAGATGATGACATCTTTTAATCGCAAAAAAAACAATACCTGCAGATATTTCAAAAACGCCTTTGCTGTATCGCCTTAGAATCTGCACGAGCGAGCTTAAACCCTTCGCGGTGTTGTACGCTTTGGTTTGCCACTCTACGTGAATAATGTAACGGTGTGTGTGTGTGTCTATTTAAAAAAAAGAAACACGTTTTAGCTCATTAATGAATTGTAACAGCAGGCATTTGGAAAGGGCTCGCCACGCCGAGAGACGGTCGCCTTTTAACGAAGGGATCAACGTGGTCTGTGCGGTGCCACCCAATCGGAAACAGCACTCGTGTGACTTTACACTTAGCATAGAATCGGATTTGCAATAGCTCTTAAGTGACACGGGGCGCTTTCCAGTTTTCACGTTTCGCATGGCTAAATCTTCCGTCCATGATCGAACGTCGCTATAAGCCGTGCACGGTCCCACAGTTGGTCCACTGCCGGATGAGGGCCTCGCCACGCCGTGTCCGGTCACGGGGGGTTGTTTGACCATACTTCGCCACTCCTGGTTAGTTCGGGTCAGTGAAGGCGGTGAGCATGCACGTGCGAGCATAGTACAGTACAACTCTGGATTTTTGCTGTGTTGCCCTCCGCCGCCCCCGTTTAGTCGGCCCGAAGTGGCCTCTAACCCGTGTTATAGGTTGACTCGGCCTAAAACGAGAGTGCCTTGTGCGGGTGCTGTCAACTTTCCCACCGAGGCGACAGAGTGGGCACACGTAGTCCGTTCGTTGATCGCGGCCACACTTCACCCCACCCAAGTCGATCGTGGCTGGGAATCCAACTCGGACGCGCCGAGTTCAGGGGCCCGCTGCGGGCATTCCGCTGCGCGACCGCTGCCGCCCGTGGCGGCTGGAACGGAACTCTCGGGCCGCCGGGTTTCGCAGTGGAACGTCGGTGCTTGCGATTGTCGCGACGGTGACGCCGATGAAGACCCCGACCCGCGCGGCTGTGGCAAAAACAAAAACAAAAAAACTGGAGAGAACGCCTTCTCACGTCTTTTTGCCACTGTTGTGAAAAACGACACGCGCACGCCGCCGCACGCACAACGCGGCAATTGTTGAATTTTGACACGGTGTTTGCCATGCCCTGTGTATATAGGTGTACGTAAAAATTTTTTTTATATATATAAGAATGCATCTTTGCCTAAATCGTGTTGTTGTCAATAACGCTTTTGTGTAATTGTTATGCCGCCACCGCGTGCTCTCTCGCCGAATCTCCCGCTGCGAGCGTCACCGTTTGAAATCCCCCGCCGGCCCCCCCCCCCCCGTCATCCAGACCCGCGTGCGCGCGACGCTGGTTCACGCGCGACGCTGGTTCACGCGCATCCCGCGCGCGCGTCACAACAACGAGAAGCACGCCGTCCCGCGCACACTCCCCGCTCGGCTTTTTTCACGGTGTGTGTGCGTGTGTGTGGTTTTTTTTTTTGGGAGGGGGTGTGGGGGGGGGGGGCTCGTCGAGACCTTTCCATTCCGTCTCGTTCGCCTCCGGCGGCCTAATGCGAGAGCTGACGCTTGTTTCAATACACTCACATTGAGATACAGGATCACACTGTCAATGAAAATGGTGAATAAACAAACTACCATGCTGTACATGTGGTGTGCGGTGCATGTTGATGGTGCGCGGTGCGTGTCTGTGGTGCACGGTGTGTGTCCGTGGTGAGTGTTCATGCTGAGTGTTCATGGTGCACGGTGTGTGTCCGTGGTGAGTGTTCATGCTGAGTGTTCATGGTGCACGGTGTGTGTCCGTGGTGAGTGTTCATGCTGAGTGTTCATGGTGCACGGTGCGTGTCCGTGGTGAGTGTTCATGCTGAGTGTTCATGGTGCACGGTGTGTGTCCGTGGTGAGTGTTCATGCTGAGTGTTCATGGTGCACGGTGCGTGTCCGTGGTGAGTGTTCATGGTGCACGGTGAGTGTCCGTGGTGAGTGTTCATGGTGCGCGGTGCGTGTTTGTGGTGAGTGTTCATGCTGAGTATTCATGGTGCACGGTGTGTGTCCGTGGTGAGTGTTCATGCTGAGTGTTCATGGTGCACGGTGCGTGTTTGTGGTGAGTGTTCATGCTGAGTGTTCATGGTGCACGGTGTGTGTCCGTGGTGAGTGTTCATGCTGAGTGTTCATGGTGCACGGTGTGTGTCCGTGGTGAGTGTTCATGGTGCACGGTGTGTGTCCGTGGTGAGTTCATGCTGAGTGTTCATGGTGCACGGTGTGTGTTCATGCTGAGTGTTCATGCTGAGTGTTCATGGTGCACGGTGTGTGTCCGTGGTGAGTGTTCATGCTGAGTGTTCATGGTGAGTGTTCATGCTGCACGGTGTGTGTCCGTGGTGAGTGTTCATGGTGCACGGTGCGTGTTTGTGGTGAGTGTTCATGCTGAGTGTTCATGGTGCACGGTGTGTGTCCGTGGTGAGTGTTCATGGTGCACGGTGTGTGTCCGTGGTGAGTGTTCATGGTGCACGGTGTGTGTCCGTGGTGAGTGTTCATGGTGCACGGTGTGTGTCCGTGGTGAGTGTTCATGGTGCACGGTGTGTGTCCGTGGTGAGTGTTCATGCTAAGTGTTCATGGTGCACGGTGCGTGCTTGTGGTGAGTGTTCATGCTGAGTGTTCATGGTGCACGGTGCGTGCTTGTGGTGAGTGTTTATTGATTGTCTTGTGCCCCAGTATTGTCCCGATCGCGTGACTATCGGCGCCGCGTCGCCGACAGTCGAATTTTCGCAGAGCAGTGCGCCACCCCTTCATGTTAGAGAACGGCCCGCGGAAGTGGATCCCACAGAGCTGCCTCAGAGAATCCCTTCAAGCGACCTCTAGCATTCTTCTTATTATTTGGTGGTGGTGATGATGGTGGTGATGATGCTGCGTTGGCAATGATGCGCAAGGACAGGTTCCCAAAACGTCGCCTATTAATGCACACATTCATATTGTTTTTTGTATTCGGGCAGTGTTGATCACGGTGAGTTTTTGTGTTGCATGCAGTAGGTGGCAGCACTTACATTTCGCACTGCGGGCAAAATTTTATTTTAAATTCTTCTGAGAGCTGGGAATCGAGCAATTTAAGTGCATAGCCAAATTTAATTAAATGTGTGTGGGGGGGGGGGTGCGGTCATTGGGTGATTTGTCTGAGACCATCATTAGCTTCCTACGCTTGAGAACTCGGATCAATCGTGGGCGGCTGCCTGGATTCGTACCCAGGATCTTAGCTGTGCCGGTTCTAATCTCGGCCACCGCGACTTCTCTTAAGCGCGGATGGTCTCCGACATCCGCGAACTCTGTCCCAAGAGCATGTTTTAAGTTTAACCCCCATTAAACTGTGAGCAGCTAACTCCTTTAACCGTTGCAGGGACCTCGGCATATATACTGGCTTGTTAGCCCGTCCTAGGAAGGAAGCTGTAATATTAAAGATGTATATGAACGTTTTATTGAGTTATTGTTAATTTTATTAGGAAATGTAGCACATAAATAACTTTTTCCTAACTCATGAAATTGAATTAAGGACTTTGGAAGATTTCTCGGTATACGATGTTTTGTGTGAATCTCTTATCGCTGTTCAAAAGGTTTCGCTGCAGTTGGCTATGCTTGATGAACATTTTGATCCGCTGAGGATATTTAGATCTCGACAGAGCCACGTACAACTGGCCAATGGGAAAATACGGGTCCATTGAGATAAATACCAAAACTGTCAAAAGTCAGACACTGAGACTTGTTGATCGTCATCGCATATGCAGGAATTATCGGAATTTGTCGTCGTTTTGGAACGAAAGGAAGAGTGACATCACTTGAAGTTCGGTAGATTATCGGGATTAAGACGCTATCGCCTCGGTTGCAAAGGCGAACAACAATCTCTGTGGCTGTATAATTTGAAAAAAAAAAAACCCCGTAACTTCACTTCAGCACTGTTTTCAAATCACCCGAAGCTGTTAACTGACAAATTTATCCACAACGATGGACGCTTGATAGCGAAGGGTGAATGACGTAGAGTGCTGATACTGTCTGAAGTAACTTAGCAAATAACGAAGACCAAAGAGAAGCATTAGAGTTACGAATAAAATTGATCGGGGTATGATTTTATTTCGTCTCGATGCAAAGGCAGGGAATATAAAACAAAAAAAATTGTCATCAAACACTTCACTGCATTTCACTGTAGCGCTGTATTCATGGCAGTGAATGTTTGCCCTGGAGGAAGTCGTAATTAAACCTCGCAGCATTTGACCGCAGCACTGCATTAATGACGGTGGTTGTTGCACGCAACTAAATCACGAAACACCTGACGGAATGTCACAGTAGCAATGTATTTAACGGACGTTCGATTACTTGCAAGCCACTGCTCTGATACTTAGTTATACAGTAAAACCTTGGATTGCGAGTAACTTGGTCTGCGAGTGGTTTTGCAAGACGAGCTAAACATTTTTTAAAAAATATTAATTTGATAAACGAGCGAGGTCTTGCAATACGAGTAGTGTACGTGTATACACGCTTTGTCTGCCGAGCGTCACGTGACCACAACTGATATACGTTGTGCTTTGATATACGTTGTGCTTTGGATTACAAACACGTTTGCGGAACGAATTGTGCTCGCAATCCAAGGTTTTATTGCATTCCGCTATGGCTCGCCGGGGTTGAAAACAATTGGAATTCGATACAGTGTCCGCAAAGTCGCAGAGAAGTGTTCATTGTGGCATGATTAGGAAGCGCAAAGTCGACACTTGCCTTGTTGTTGGACGTGCAGGAAGACACAAATGAAGGTACCAAATGCACTGCGATGCGGCGTAGAATTATTTACAGACTTTTACTTTCTATAAAGATGCGTAACATCGAAAGCGGAATTGCGCACAAATTTTTATCGTAGCCGCCTCGACCTTCTGCATTAGTTAAAAAAGAAAACAGTCGCACATGAATAATGATGGGGGGGGGGGGGCGCATGTGAAGTGACGTCACGCGCGGGACACAGCCTTTTGTGGTTCGTGATATGAGTTGCTGCGTTGATTTCTTTATTAGCTTTACTTTCCATAAAGAAAGGCCGAAATTAAAGCTAATTTGCGTAAACAAATTTTCGTTGTTTTCGCTCCATCTTCTTCATGTGGAGTTACGTCATCCGTTCATGATTATTAATGACGGGGGGGGGGGGTCCATGTGGAGGACCCCACCTGTTCATGATTATTAATGAGGGGGGCTGGTCGATGTGGCGTGACGTCACGCGCGTTACACACAGACATTCTTGGCTCATATTCGTAATTTCTCGACGTCAGTCGGGGTTCAACTGGAAGCTGTGGCTGTAAACGGGAAAAAAAATAAACAACAGGCAACGCTTCGGGCAAATAGCCTTCCTCATTTCGTTCTTATGATCATGATACGTGCATCAAACTGCCTGGTAAACAACGGTCTGGGGGAGGCCCCTATGCTGATCAATCCACTGCTGGATGAAGACCCCCCCCCCATCCATTACAGCGACCGCATGCTCGCCGATTTCATCGCTCCATCTCCCCGGTGGCTCCCTCGAACCGATGACCCCTCGGGCGCACTCCAATTCCTTGGCTGTCGCTCCGCGGGCTATGCTTGAACCGTCGACGCCGGGGCCTGCCCACGTCCCACTTTTGCTTCACGGGTTGAATGGTGTCTTCAACTTCCATGCGTTTCTCCGATCCGCGTGGTTTTCTCCGTCTGCGTCTCAATGGATTCCCCACGTGCGTGCATCTCTCCGTGCTCCTTTGCACAGCTTCCAGTTTTTTTTATCTTGTTTTGGGGGGGGGGGGGTTTCGCGAATGACCACGCTTGTAGGGGGCCGTGAGAGCGAAGAGAAACGTACCCTTTAGCACGTTTTGCTACGTACGGTGCAAGCGAAATTCTACTTATAGGGACTCCTCTGCTTACGAGCGAGTTAGGTTCCAGCGGCCTGTTCGTAAGTCCCAACTTTACTCCTGTCGTTTCCAAACATGTTGTACGTCATGTACACTCATGGCTACCATGAGAGATTCGTTCATGAGGCTATCCACATATACAAACACAGAGACAATTTCAACCGAGAAGATGGATTCTGGCTTAGCAATCATTGGAAGGATTTGATAAACCATTTCGGGCCGTAATTGATTGTTCACGCTTGCGGTGGCTTTCAGACAGCATACATTCATTTTTCGTCTCCCCCCTCCTCTTTTCCGAACATAGATGGACTCGTCCATCTAAACAAACTGTCAAATCGCTATCCGTGGTGCTAACGTGTAAAAATATATAAATACAAACCGCCACTTCTTTCAAATGTTCTTGCTGTTGGTTTTCGCACCTGATGATGACTGCTTCTGTTGCAGTCGAAACGTCGTGAGAATTTTATTGTTTTATATATATTTTATTATTTTATTGCTTCCCTTCAACGTGACTTTACCGAAAGAACCAAGAATATAACGGGGAATGGCTTTGAAAGTTGCATAATCTCATGTAGATGCCACTGGTTATTCACGTTCTGCAGATTTAGATGCCACCATCACCGTCTATTGCGCGGCGGTTGAACTTTTCGGCTCTTGGTCCGAACTGGACATACGGACAGATTTGTTCGTCTTGATTTGAAGCTTTCGTGACTGCAGGAATCCACACTCTTTGGTTCTTTCGGTAAAGTCACGTAGGTAGAAAATAAAATAAATCACGACGTTTCGATCGCAACACAAGCGGTCGTCCTCAGGCGGAAAAAAATAATAATCCAGCAGTGGAACTCTTGAACCAGCGAGAGAGCAGCTACAACAAAAAGTGGTTATATACGTGGCGATAAGCAAGCAGGCGGGGTCTGAGCTGGAAAGGAATTCCATCCCCGGACGCAAGCACGTCAGTTGTGTTAATGGGGGAGATTAGGGAGAGAGATTGGCATGAATGTGCTTCTGTCGCCGCATAAGAGTATCATGCCCGCATATGCGCACAACAGCAGTGTTAATGAGAGATTCGCACCATGAGAGTGCAATCCAAAGGACATGTGAGCGTGGGAGTACAATCCCAAGGACATGTGAGAGATCTAAGAGAGAAGCATAGAGAGAGAGAGACACACACAGAGAGTCGGAAATAACAGCTGACATAGACAGGTAGGATGGAAACATCAGAGTCAGTTAAGACTTTACCTGGTTAATAACGTCCTTCCAATTACTCAGTTTGTACCCATCTTCTCGGTTGAAGTTGTGTCTGTGTTTATATATCTGGATGAAGGTAGCCGGTAGGTTTGCAGAGTACCTCCGTCTTGGAAAAATCTATTTCGTGTGAGCCCACAGCGTTAAAACAATGATCAGCAACGGCAGAGGTATTGTTCCTACCGTGTTTCAGATCTGCCTTGTGTTCACGAACGTGGTCCGAGATATGCCGTTCGTATCTCTGAAATTTCTTAAGTCGAATGCTCGTGAGTAGAGGAGTCCCCGTACATACGTACGGTGTCTGTTTGTGTTGGCCATTAACTTCCGTGATGGCACATACCGTATACTCCTGTACCTTAAAGTAAGAGATGGGGGAGTGCGTCGTAGAATACGGTAGGTGTGTGTGTGGGTGTGTCTAGACTTTGGGTAACTTATCTGACACCAGGCACAGGTTTGGTGTGGCGTCCAACGTTCCGGATTGCCTTCTAAACCAGAGAATAACGGCCATGCGGAGTTTTTTTTTGGTTGCAAAGCAGAGGATCTGAATGTGATGGAAGGAGTGTTGCAACGTTGAGAAAAGCAAGTGCTGTACGCAGTTTTTTTGGAAACAAAATGTTATATTTTATTCACATTGCGATTGTTATTGTTTAAGGGCGTTTCTTTTGCGAATGGAGCATAACTGGAGTACTCGAGTCAGCTTTATAATTGTTAGTGTTCTGCGTAGTTAAAATTACGTTTTTGTTCGTGTATAAAAATAACAAATCATCCTGAACACAAAATTAGCTTTGAAATGTAACACACTTTTATATATGTATGTAAAAAATTTGTTTTATATGAACTTTTTTTAAAGACGAGACATTACATTGGAAACAAACAATTCACCTCATTCATAAATCACACTGTTATGGATGGATATATATTGTATAGAAATTAACACTGAAATCATGGAATATAAAATCTGACTGCATTACCAGTGTTACAGCGATTGGAATTTTAGTTCATTTTGATTTAAGCATGAAAAAATTCGATAGTACAACGTCGCATATCCGACCATGAAATATTCACCCTGGCCAATTAACAGCCCACACCCAGTGCAGTATTTACTGCCATGTTCCTTATAGCTGTTCCCAAATGCTACTTCGGGTATATCATATTACGGCAATGTTATTCCTAATCTCGCGTGGATGCGCCCCAAGGTTCCCTTCACGTCCAGTATTCTTGTCCCGTAAACCTATGTATTATTGGTGTTACTCAACCTTGTCTCGTCCGCTTGTGTATACATCGCGGTCCCTAGCGAGTCGGACGTGCGGCATTATACACGTGAACAGGACGTGCAAGTCGATGCTATATATGCCGTGAAGTGTGAATGCACGCGTGCGTTAGCGATGAACGATTAATATTCGCTTCGACAATTAGTTATTCATCTCGTCTACAGCAGGACAATTTACAACTGCAAAAAAAACTCGATATACGGAACATGCATTTTCTGAAGCGACTACATTTGGTTAACTTGGTTTTTTTAAAGTATAAATTTAACGCACACCGCGAAATAATAGCGAATTTCGTGAGTCTAAATTTACATTTCCCCCCATATTTCACTTTCAATAAGCACGCATCAATCCTACAGCAGTGACACAGCAACGTTAAGGCCAGCAGTAAATGCTTCGCTGTAATTTATTATTTTAAAAAAAGTAGCCGCTTCTGTTCGCTACCCAATTCGGGCGGTCCTGGGGTAACGAACTTAAGTCGTTCCTGAGACCCGTTCATAAGTCGGAACGGTTCGTAAGTCGGAGCACAACATCGCACTGTCTTTAAATTCCCGTACGGTCGGTGTTATGAAACGTGTTACGGGAAGCATCGTTCAGCTCGTTATATGTCGCGGAGGATCACTCTTCTGAACAAAGTAGTTGCACGGTTCAGTTTTCAAGCGCGAGTTCGCGTTTGTCTAAATCGACGTTAATTTGTGATTGTTTTTGTTTCATGGAAGCTGGTCCGTAAGTACGGGCGTTCGTAAGTACGGGCGTTCGTAAGTCGATGACTGCCTGTATGCCCACACAGTGCTAAGGGGCAAGGGGCTTAATTTCAATCGGACCTGTCCGGGGCTGAACTCCGGAAAATATTCCCTGCCCTCCCCCCGAAGCCCGTTGTAGGGAGTGGGGTAGGTTTGTTTTTTTTTGGGGGGGAGGGAATTATTCCATGAGAAATTAAGCCTTGATACAGGGCTGAGTTTCTTTTGTCTTTTTTTTGTGAGAAAAACAAATAACATTTTAAACATCCCTTGAACATAGCAAAAGAAAATGTGAATCATCTCTTACATAGAACACGTGCCGCTTCGATCTCTTTACAGGTTGTGTACGTGCTCTTGTGTTCTATTCGGCAAAGTCACTTTACCGAATAGAACACAAGAGTATGGATCCTTGCAGTCACGAAAGCTTTAAATCTAGGTTGTGTACGCGCTATCATTATGATGATATCTAGCCCCTTATCCACTGCTGGATTAAGGCATTAAGGCCCTCCCAACACCGTGTCGATCATGGGGTGGGAGTGGTTTGACCATACTTCACCACTCGTTCTTGCAAATTGCGTCTCACGACTGCTGCAGAGCCACAGATAGCGGGGAAGGCAACAGCCAAGGCGGTGAGCGGGTGCCGACAATTACCCAAAGCGCCGTGATCCTCTCTACACATTAAAGATGTTTTCAGCCAATTAATGAGCGTGTATACATGTTGGAGAAGAGCCGAAGCACTCGGGGGGAAACACTATATCCCATGCATTTGCTGTGCCGCCTTCATGCGACCCAAGCGTGTGCTGGCCAACACCAGTGACGATAATCTGAACCGGTCCTGGGCCTCCCCTAAGTCGACTCAGCCTCAAATGAGTACCTGGTGCGGTGTGTAAACATCGCCACTGAGGAGACTAAGACGGTCGGGCGTGGTGCTGGCCACCCACCCCCTCGTGTACCGTTACCGGCCTTCATAGGTGCTCGCTAACAGCACTTGCCCCAACAGTCTGTTAAGGCTATACGGGGGATCTTTGTAATCCACCAACCCTCCACAGTCCTGGATCACAGGCCACGTCCATAGCCACCACAGCCCTTTCAAGATAGGAAAGAGGGGAGCCAGGACCGGTCCGCTGCTGATGTTGGTGCTACGACCATCAGCTGTTGCTACTGTTGTTGTTGTTGATGCAGGTGCTATTGCATATTCTGCTACTGCTGTTGCATCTGTTGATTGCTGCTGCTACAAACTGCCATTCATCCGGCCATCACTGCTGTTGCTGCGAGTGCTACTGACCATGCTATCTATTGCTGTTTCTGCTGCTGCTGATGATCTACGTCAATGATGCTGCTGCTGCCGATGATGCTACTAACAGGCATGCTCTTATACCTGTATACGCACGTGCTATTATTGATGTCGCTGATACTGCTGCCGTAACTACGCGCTGCTTGGGAATTACTGGAGGCGGTGGGCAAAGTAGAATCTCAACTGGATGTGAGTGATGAAGGGCCGCTCATGGCATAGCTGATGCCCCCCCCACTCCTCCTTGCCCAGCCGAAACATTGGGAGGCATTGCACCCCTCTTACCCAAACGGCACTTGTTCTATTACAACTTATGCTGCTGATACTACTACTGACGATGTTGTTGCCGCAATTGCTGCTGCTGCTGATGATGAGTGGGGAGTGAGGGAGGGTGGGTGGGTGGGTGGGCGCAGGCCGGGCTAGGCCAGCACAGGTCTCAGGGTGACGAGGGGCAGCAGGAGGGAGGCCAGCAGCAGATGCAGCAGGGGCAGCGTCGGCCCTGACCCCGAGTCCGCAGTCGAGTCTGCTCCGACGGGAAAGAAACAGCGCACAAACAACACAAATGCGAGGGGCACAGCTGGTGCGTTTGTGTGCGCGCGTGTGTGTGTGCGCGTGTGTGTGCGCGCGTGTGCACGTGTGGGTGCGCGTGTGTGTGTGTGCGCGTGTGTGTGTGTGCACGTGTGGGTGCGCGCGTGTGTGCAGTGTAGCTGTTTCCGCGCTGCGCTACGAACCCGGCGGACCCGGGTTCGATTCCCGCTCACGACCACCAGCGCCAGTGACGATTATCTGAATCGATCCTGGGCCTCCCCTAGGTCGACTCAGCGTCAAATAAGTACCCGGTGCGGTGTGTAAACATCGCCAGTGGGGAGACAAAGGCGGTCGTGCGTGGTGCTGGCTACCCCCCCCCCCCCTCGTGTGCCGTGCCGGCCTTCATAGGTGCTCGCTAACAGCACTTGCCCCAACAGTCTGTTAGAGACTATACGGGGGATCTTTGTCTTTGTGCGTGTTTTGTGTGTGTGTGCGGTAGGGTACGGTTAGGGGGGGGGGGGGTTACAGCTGCTGCGCATCTTCCAGCCATCTCGGTCGGTCAACCCATGGCACCTGCTGGGTCTGTCCCGTGACCTCCTGGCGATGGTCATGACTCTCACGACGTTGATCATAAATAGCGATAATGACGGTGATGAGCGTCTAGCCATGAACTCGTGCCAGTGTTCTCACGATGGTTTATGGTGGTGGTGGTGACGATGATGATCTGCGCGACTCACTGCCGGTGGAGTTGGTGGGAGAGAGTTGAGTTTGAGCCACGGCGAGGCTCGCGGCCGTCAGAAGCAGCAGTAGGGCAAGCAGACGCCTCGCATTCTGCAATGCACAGGGGGCCACAGAAGTCACGGCATCATTGTCTTCATCATCTTGATTATGCGCATTAATCATCTCGATCTTCATTATCGTCATCAACATAATTTTATCTTTGTCGTAATTATCAGCCGCGGCAGCAGCAGCAGCATCAACAACATCATTGTTCTTCTTTGGTTCGTTCGGTAAAGTCACGTAGAATGAGAATAAAATAATAAATTGATAAAATAATATAAAATAACACAATACAATTCTCACGAAATTCTCACGAAACGTCGTGAGAATTGTATCGTGTTACTTTATATTATTTTATTAATTTATTATTTTATTCTCATTCTACGTGATTTTACCGAAAGAACCAAAGAAGATGAATCCTTGCAGTCACGAAAGCTTTAAATCGAAACATCATTGTTCATTGTATAAATGTATCGTTAAACCCGCCACCACCCGACACAGCCAATGAGTAAGGTTTGGCACGTTAAAAAGAACGTGCCAATTCGTATTCGTGACTAGTTCAGCACTAACCGGTGTGTTGGAGAGTAAAACCCACTGCAACATTTACAAGACATATCGCCTACGTTGTGGCACCAGTAACATCAGCCATCGCCATTAACTTCGCGGAATCGTCAATGATTAGCGCCGTGATCATCATCACTGTCATCCACATTATAGTCATCATCATAATCACCGTCATATTCAGTGCGTTATTGTTATCGTCATCCATCAAGCTCATCATACTCATTATTGATATCAGCAGCAGCTGTATAAAATGAAACAAACATGTTTTGTAAGACTGATGACTCAATATTTCCCAATGGTAAATGTGCAGTAAAAGAGTTATTGACTTAAAAATATGTTAGCGCCCATCAGCATGCCGTATTCACTTATCATATTGTTTGTCATTCATTAGCAAGAGCCATAACTGTACCGTCGTCTCCACTTTCGTTTAAAAAGTGAAAAAGTACAGATTGCTACAAGGCTAAACAACGTTAATAGTTCTAATTTAAAATAAATGTAAATAAATAATTTAAAGGATTGGTCCGTTGCTCAGTCTTCCACTGGAAGAAGCTCTCCCCAAGCCGTTTCGGTCAGGGGGGGGGGGTTAACCATACTTCACCACGCTGGTCAGTGTGGGTGAAGGGGGGAGGTCCAGGACCGGTTAGATATCACTGACCACTGATGTTAGCCGTGGCCAGCAATCGAAATAAAAGCTGCTGCGTTTGTAACGCAGTGCCCGAACCACTGTCCCACCGCTCAACCTTGCTCCAATAATTGGTCCTTATTCAAGTTAAAGGTTTCTAAAAGTAGTTTTGATCAAAATGTACAACATTTAGGACGCAATACATCTCAAGGAAAAACAAATGTACAAATAAATGTGTGAAAGATACGCGGAGTCATCCTTTCCGATTTTGCTTATTGTTACCACAGCACACGGTTTTACTGGGCTATGCTGGAAATTCCACATTGATATGACGGGAGCCAGTGAGTCCGCAGTGACAATCGGTGCGCTTGCAATACAACAACGTCGGTAAGGTTGTGCGTGATGCGGTACGTTACTCACAGACGCTCGCGACATCCTTCGGACAAAGAAACCCGAGGGCCAAGAAAATAAAAATGGAGCCCTCCGCTTTTCTCCGTGAAGAAAATTAAATAATAATATAAAAAACCCTCAAAACCCCGACAGCTCCCCCTTATAAATGCTGCCCGCGGTGCTGCCGTCACCCCCCTTCATAACAAACAAAAAAAAGTCTCCAACCGTGAATATTTAAAGAGCCTCTTGGGGATGGAGAGGGCCGGGCGCTATGGTAACTGGGCCCTCGTGCCCCCAAAATGCCACTCTTAAATGCGTGCTTTCAAGTAGTAAAGTTCCCTTGTAAATGTGTATATCGGTTTCTTTTCTCAAGCGTTTTCGGCCCTTTTCTCTCTTTCTCTCGCAGTCGGTCTATCCGTATTTTTACAGGTGTGTTCTTTTTATGTATAGATTTATACGTGTAAATATTTTTTTATATAGAAAAAAGGAGACCTCTTGAAGGCACCCCGTTCTCACCCACCCCAATCCCATATGCGCCATATACACAGCACACTCGTGATTTGTAAAAGTTGATCAATGAGCTTACGCTGTTTGGGTGACCTCTACGTGTGACTTGGTGGTAAATGCCATGGCCTTGTTTAAGCGCACGTAGTTTCAATTCTTCCCGTTGTCCTTTTATTTAACTTGGGGAGAGAGCCCTTTGCTATCCCCACACTATAATTTGTTTATGGAGATTTTGGAGCGTTCGTGCAAAATATATTATGCCAGAGGTTTCCAAACTCTGCCCGACTCGCGTACCACCATTTTAAAAGTACGATATATAATGTCTTGATTATACATTATTTAAATGGCATTACAAACATTAATTGTCCATAAGATATCCCCTTAAAATCATATGGAGAGAAAACATTTACAGAAGTTGCAGAACGTACACAAGTTAGAGGCTTCGTATGGACTGTTAAGATTGTCATTGGTGGAACGTGGAATGGCTGGGAAAGGGGAGCTCGGAATCACAATCCGTATTTAGACTGGAGGAATCCGATGAGCTTTGAAGCTCTTTGTCACAGATGTCCAGGAGTTTCACAGATGTCCAGTAGATAGCCAGTGCTCGAGACTAATGACAGAGTGGCAGCCAAAGGAGGGAAACCCACGATATAAAGGAGGGAAACCCACGATATAGTCCAGCACAGGCGCCAGATGCATCGCTGCATCACGGTTGGGTACGTATGGTTCGAAAGAAGTTCAACATGCATACATTGGCTACGGACATCTGTGAAAAAGAGCTTCAAAGCTCATCGGCTTCCTCCAGTCTAAATATTCTGATAAAGATTCCGGTGGTGCAGGGAGGATTCCATCCAGCAGTAGATAGATAATGACTGACGGTGATTAATTGTGGCTTTCACTCACAAAAACAACAACCGCCATTCGCCACTCTTTGGCGGTGACGTCCCCAAGGCGCCCTGTGCCAGGCCAGGTGCACTTTAAGGCCACGTGAAATGTAGAACGCTCGCTGCCAGAGGAGGTCACGGGACAGACCCAGGTGCCATGGGTCGGCTGACTGAGATGACCGGTAGATGCACCCACCACCAGCTGTACCCCAGCTGCAATTCTCTCTCACACACGCACACACACACGCACACGCGCACCACACGTACGTACATGCATGCATGCGTACATGTGTGTTGGAGAGAGTGATCGTGCAGGGTGCTCTCGTCTTGCTTGGCCAACGTTTTGAAACGCCCTCAAATAGCCAACACTCGAGCACAATGAGTGGAGTGGCAGTGGGGGGGGGGGCTCGATGCAGAGCGAGGCTTGAAGAGGCGGCGGCGAGAGTGGCGAGTGTTGACTCTGTAGCCCTGCCGTGTTTGTTTCCGAACCATCGGGTCCCGTCGCACGGCAACTGAACAGGAACCGCTTTCCAGCCGACAACGCTTCCCGACGAGACGTTGGGGGGGGGGGGGGGGGGGAAGGAGGGGGGCCTTCTTTGCCATGCGCATTTCTAAAGAAATGTTTTTCTCTCTTTCTCTCTCCTCCAGTGATGTCCAATAGTGGGGGCATTTCTTTTGTTCTCCTAAAATTATGGCCACATTTTGGTTTTTAAATAATGTCAAAATTAGTCCCACTCTGTGTTGACGTCAACGGTGGTTGTCCTATGGATAGACTTTACTCCACCAAAGGAACATGGAATTTCCAGCATCCGCCCCCCATCTGCGGTACTTGTTCAACAGGGCCTTGGCTGTGGTGTAATGAATGAATGAATGGTTCAGCACCCTGGACTTGTCAATCTCCTCGTCGCCGGTCAATTTCCCGGAGTGGGAGTCAATAGAACGGTGCAAGTTTTTATTTTATTTTGTTGTAGTTCCCCCCCCCCCCCCCCCCCAATGCCTCTGTCCAGCCAGCAGTGTAAATGGTTACGCTCGACAGTCGACTTGCAGTCCACGTGTGGCGGGGGTAAAGTGTGGGGGTTTCTCTCGCCTGTTCCAAGACGTCTAAGCATCGTCAAATAGTCGGCCAGATACCCTCGACATCAGAGAGTTCCCACAGTCCCCTGGATATCAAATCCGTGTCTAGTTCCCCCCCCCCCCCCCCTTCTTCACTGGCCATTGCGGTGAAGTATAGTCAGTGGGAATGAAGTGCACGTGTTGACTTTGTCTCCCCCCCCCCTCCCCCCCCCCCGTGCTGTACAGAAGGGGGGCCAGACCGGAATGCCAATGTATTGTTAAATCAGTAACCGAACCTGGATTACTAGAAATGTATTCCAGTGCACAAACCACGAGACTATAAATACCAATATCCTGTGCAGTAGACATATATGCATATAAAACATGTAGAGTGGTGGAGCAGTGGTGAGCGCACTAACGCTATGCAGCTCGCTACCCGAGTTAGAATTTTGGCTAGGACTATAACACCAGCGGCGAGTGATATCAGAACCCGTCCTGAAATCTCCACTCCACCCTCTCTTCGACAACCTGCGCTGACCAAACGGCCTTCATGACGAACACCACGGAGGCCTCCGTCCAGCAGTGGATTGGCAAACGCCTGTAACTAATGACTTTAAAGCTATATTCTTAGTTTTTTCGGTAAAGTCACGTTGAAGAGAAACAACAAAATAACGTGACTTTACCGAAAAAACTAAGAATATGAATTACTGCAGTCACGAAAGCTTTAAATCAAGACTTTAAAGCTCTTTGGCCTTTAAAAAAAACAAAGAATATGACGTGAGAAGTCGTTACTCTGATAGCGTCCATTGAACCGAAGGATCCATTGGCAAGAGTGCCCTGCTTGGGATGTTTGGTGAATTCTTCTTTGAAGTTTTTTTTTCTTCTTTCTTTTGTAGGAAACTCAAGTGTTTGGAGAAACCCGTGCATACGAGGGACAGGGCATTCTTGTCTCCAAATACTCTGCAACTACTATACTTGCTTATGCCCCCCCCCCCCCCCACATTGAAGACACGTGTTTGCACCAAACGATAGTGTGAGTCTGCAGTACAAAACATAAATGAGAAAGAAAAAAAACCAACAAAACGTAAGTTTCCTTGTTTTATTGTTTCAAAATATGGAGTAAATTTAGTGAATTGCATTAGGACGGACTGTTAATTTCCTTCGGCAGTCAAGGGTCCACAAACCTCGATTAATAACACGTTCATCATTTTAATTTGCTTTTTGATCATTCACATATGCGACGTTTTCTCACGCAGTGGGCCAAGTGTGGAGCCACTTTCAAATTCCATCCCCAACTCCTCTCTCTTCCCTCTCAACCACATTCCTGTCCTTATGTGCATGTCCGTACCAACTCCCCAGACATTCTGTCATCTCACTGTCCCGTTCGGGAGCTCACTAGGTCATATGCTCGCTCATGTATCTTATTCAGTAACTGACAGCTCCACTCGCAATTTCACTTAAACCATTCACCGGCCAACTGGCTAATTCACAAGCTCAATGTCCCACTCATCAGTTCACGGTTCCACCCTCCAAATCTCTCGCCTATCCATCAGCTCAATAATGCAATAATCAAATGGTTATCTCATTCAGTAGCTTACTAGACCATCGACCATTCACTAAACTGGTCACGTCCCCACTAGCTGATTCAATAGCTCACCGTCCCAACCACCACGAGCCCACCCGTTGGCTTACTAATTCACTATCATGGCGATTACCCCACTGAGCAGCATAATAACTCATCCACCGTTTCACTAAAACTCCCCCCCGACGCTCGATTCGATGGCTCACAATGCCATCTTCACTTGCGCGGGGAGTTCTGCAGCGGCTGTGGCACGCGGATGTCCTGGCCTTTCTCCAGCTTCTTCTCGCACTCAATGAGGTAGTTCACTCCATCGACCACGAGCTGTACCAGCTCCACCTACACAAAGTGAGGTGTCATCACCAACATCAGCATCGCCACCATCATCCATCATCAGATCACCGTAATCACCAACATCAGCATCAACATCATCATCCATCATCAGATCACCGGAAACATCAGCATCAACATCATCATCACCATCAGATCACCGTTATAACCAACATCAACATCATCATCACCATCAGATCACCGTTATAACCAACATCAACATCATCATCACCATCATCCATCATCAGATCATCGTCATCGCCAACATTGGCGACGTAGTCTACGTCGTCATCGGCACCGTCGTCTTTGCCGGTGTTGACCGAATGGCGTGGAATTGCTGCCGATCTCATCTGATCTCAGAAGCTAAGCAGGTTTTTGTTTACGCCTGGATAGAGGTTGCCATACATATTTTGCCATCAAATAAATGTGTTTATCGAAGCAATGAGCGAGAACGACAATCACGATCTGACGAGGTTGTGCGACCAGGACGGATCCTGAACGGTGCGACGTATCGTGGCGTCGCGGCAATGCGGCGACCCTGTAAAGCCGCAAGCCCTTCGTCACCTCGGACTTCCCCAGGCGATCGAGGTTGGAGATGTCGAAGGTGTCGCCCGTGGTGGCCGAGTCCACTCCGCCAGTGCCGCGCTTCTGCAGTCGCAGGTTGTCGAGGATCTGGGAGAATCGCTTGTCCTGAAGTGTGGGTGGGGGGTTGGGGGAAGTTGCGGGACACGGTCAGCCATGATCAATCCACTGCTGGATAAAGGCCTCCCACGAGCCGTCGTCATCAACTAACGGTCCCGTGGGGCGCCGATCCGCATAGCTCCGGATTGCACACGGCGCTGATTCCATCGCTCCATCTCTGCTGCGGACATCCACTCGGGCACGTTTCTTCATCTGGCTGCCACTCTGTCGATGGTCTCGACCAGCGGTTGTCTTCCCTTCGAGTGACGTCTCCTGACCGAGCCCGCTTACCTTTAACTCTCAACGCAACGTGGTGCTTCTTCGTGCGCTTTTCAGCGAAGAACAACGTCAGTGTATTCATTATTAGAGGTGACCCCTGAACGCTCA